GGCAGATACCGATTGCCATTCATTTTCCTGCTCCATAAGAAATATGAGCCTGTTATTTAGTAAATCTTTCAGAGTCTCTCCACTGGGTTCCACTCTAATAGAGTCGCCTTTCTGAAAAGCTTCTCAGTATGGTGCCCCAGCTGAGAAGCATCTTTCTGTGGCAAGTGTCTTCACTTACATGCCAGCGGGCAATGCCAGAGAGGGTTTGCGAGTCTGGAAACACTTTGGTCTCTGTCCTTGTCTCACGTGTGTCCTCTCTGCTCTGGTTGCTAATGTATCTTGTTGCTGGTGGGGATGCCATCTGGATTAGGCCCTGTGCTTTGATTCTCCCCACCCTGCCAAAGTGTTTTGCCACCCGGTGATGTTAGTAGTAAATAGTGATATGGAGAAGCTTGAGGAGAAAGACTGATGTTTGCAAGAAAACAATAAGAGAGAGAGAGAGAGAGAGAGAGAAATCCCAATTGGGAGCCACCCCTAAACCAAACATAATGTTGGCTTGATCCTCTTCAGAAGAAGAAGAGTTTGGATTTGATATCCCACCTTTCACTCCCCTTCAGGAGTCTCAAAGCGGCTAACATTCTCCTTTCCCTTCCTCCCCCACAACAAACACTCTGTGAGGTGAGTGGGGCTGAGAGACTTCAAAGAAGTGTGACTGGCCCAAGGTCACCCAGCAGCTGCATGTGGAGGAGCGGAGACGCGAACCCGGTTCCCCAGATTACAAGACTACCGCTCTTAACCACTACACCACACTGGAGAGCCAGTGTGGTGTAGCATCTCCAGAAGGAGATGCTAGGGCATGTGACTTGACAACAGATGCTCCATGGAGAGCATTATGGGGCTCCTAAACTAGTATGATATATGAAGTTCTCACTCCTGCAGGGCTCAGGAGCAAGGGACCCTCAGCCCTGTCATTGATAGCCATCGTGCAGTCACTGACTCCACGGTGCAATAAAAATAGACTAACCACTTGACTAAGGTTGCTGACTTCATGGAATAGTTGACAATAGCAAATAACATTTGTTCAATTGATCTACCAGTTAGACTAGTCAGTTGACCCAAACCTGGCTCCTGGATATGAACTTAATCCCAAATAAATTCTGGTGCTGATCTGCTGAGTAGCATCATGGAAGTCAGCCTTCCTGCCTCCCCCACCCCCCTATATTGCAAACTGGACAGAATGACCTAGTAGTGGAATGTTGTGCTTAGGAATAGCTAGACGGAATGCACTCCGAGAGATGATATATAGGATGCTGCTTATTGCCGACTTGGTGTCAGGGTTGCAATGTTGTCACTGGACATGCCTGTATATGGTTGCACAAGCCTATGGAGCTGGCTACAAATATCCCCTCCTCTTGGTTTCAGCTCTTTGTGCCTTTCCTATGCTAACCTTTCAGGAGAGAATGCAACAGCCGCTCTGCCAGTCTTTGGGGAGATTGTGGCGATCTCATCCCATCTCTATGCTACATTAAAAATAGTTTTCAAACAAACATCTCCACCCTTTTCAAAATGATCCCCAAGCCATGGATGTGAAATCGCTGCTTCATCCCCCTTGCAGCCACCCAGACTTTTCCACCGTTGCATATACATTCCTCTCTCTCTCCCTTTTTGGCATCTCCCTTGCGTTCGGCCTCATTTTCTAAAGGCCTCTGCCGGGCATTTTTGTCCCGCTTTGAAAATGTTTAATTACCTGTCCTGCTTTATGTTAAATGCAAACTTTTCCTGGCTGGGAATGTGCCTTGGACACACACTTGTTCCTTCATTCACCAAACAACTTTCAGACCAGTTGTCAACCTGGTCTCTCCCATGAAAATGCTGGGCTCTTATAAGTTGCTCATTACAATCTTCCTTCATTAGGATCATCGGAGGGATGTGTGTGTCTTTAAATCAAATCTCTAACAGTGAGACTTTGTACCTTGGAAAAATGTCTTTCACCCTGAAGATTACCCCTTGCTTTTGTGATTGTGATAGAGTTCCGCAAGAGTTGTAGGCATCTGTTTGGGATTGCAAGCTCACAACCCAGGAATGTTGCAAGTCTCCTGATGAAGATGGAGGGCCCTTGGAGGAGGGTCTTGGATAACTGATGCTGATGTGGAGGCAGGTGTGTCTTTTAAGTATCCTGACCTTGTTGGCAGTTCTGGAATGGGAAATATTGAATCCCCATACCCATACAGTATTCATTTTAACTAACTAACAGAACAATCTTGTACAGTGGTACCTCAGGTTACATACGCTTCAGGTTACAGACTCCGTTAACCCAGAAATAGTGCTTCAGGTTAAGAACTTTGCTTCAGGATGAGAACAGAAATCGTGCTCCGGCGGCACGGTAGCAGCAGGAGGCCCCATTAGCCAAAGTGGTGCTCCAGGTTAAGAACAGTTTCAGGTTAAGTACGGACCTCGGGAATGAATTAAGTACTTAACCCAAGGTACCACTGTATACAAGTTATACTGGCTGAGCAGCTGTAGAGTTTGGCAGAAGCCTTACTATGTTGACAGAACTCAAAAAACATATTAGGCTGGAACAGCATTGAACCAGGAATGAGGAGGGGACAGAGCACACTCCACTGCAGATATGAAGCAGGGGTGGGCTTCGGTAATCTTTCATAATATGGTGCCCTGCATGAGGACAAAATCTGACGTCCCCAAATAGATCTTCATAATTATCGATCTTCTCAATATTGTGCCCCCTTGGCTCAGCACCCTGTGATGGGGAACCACCCCTGTGATGGGGAACCATCCAGTGCTGTATCCAGGGGTGAAATGGAAAAACGGAGCTGCTGTGTTGTTTTTCCCAATTTTCCCAGCTTTAAAAAAGTTGTTTCTGGAAAATAGGGCAAAAAGAGAAAAAACGGGTGAAATTTTTCTAGGTTTCCCCTCCACCTTCATGTCTTTACTCAAGACCATGCTCCTGTTGAGGGGTCAACTTTCCACCAGCCCTGGACCCTGGTGCAAAGAGTTCCTATCCTAGTGGATGGGGATTTTAAATAGCACCTTAATACTGATGAGCAATCTGCTGACGTCGCCACAACAAAGCATAGAATGTGGTGTAACCCAGCAGCCAATCACAGCACACCACAACTAGTCTATATAATCCCACAGAGGAAGGCCACAACCCAGATTATATGGTACATGGAATAGGAATATATTTCTCTGGCCTGATATTGAGGCTCACAGGGGGAACTTTGGTGACGGGAATGATGAAGAAAGATAGCTTGCAAAAAAGGAAGCACTTAGCACAAACAGCCTGTCCCCAACACACTCCTAGCAACTTCAGCATATTCTCTTCCTAGAACTGTAATAGGTCCCTCACCCTGGGACTCTGCCATTGCCATTCACCCCACTCCAACAGCTGGGTATGTCAGAACAGAGCAGCCCACCGCAACTCAGCAAGGGAAGAGGATTACCATGCTGCAAAGTATTCACCACCATCACTACTTTTTCTATACAGTGGTACCTCAGGTTATAGACGCTTCAGGTTACAGACGCTTCAGATTACAGACTCCACTAACCCAGAAATAGTGCTTCAGGTTAAAAACTTTGCTTCAGGATGAGAACAGAAATCGTGCTCCAGCGGCGTGGCGGCAGCGGGAGGCCCCATTAGCTAAAGTGGTGCTTCAGGTTAAGAACAGTTTCAGGTTAAGAATGGACCTCCGGAACGAATTAAGTTCTTAACCCGAGATACCACTGTATGTGAATGCTGTGTCTTCCCAGAACTGTATTGCTGGAACACTCTTCCCCCTCAATAGTGGGAAGAAATGTTCCCTACACAGGCAAGACCCTCATCCCCACATGCAGGTAAGTTTGCAGCAGTTTCTGTTCTGACCAGTCTTCCTCACAATCAGCACTGATTCTGTTCCTCTGCAGTTCAGTTTCCTCTAAATGATACCGTATTCATCTTTTCTTCTGTTTAATGCAAATTACAAAATTATTTATGTAATTTAAGGATTTAACATAATTAATGACATAATTTCCACACTATTCGTTTCAACGTAAAGGAAACGGCAAAACAGGTCATAATCACGTATCAGTTGTTTAATTAAATCAGAAAGTTGGGACCAAATACCAGTCATATTCACTGGATGGATACTTTTCATATTGGCTAGATTGATTTCCATTCCAAACCATTCCAAACACAAACACTGGCAATTTACACAACAACACACGTTGTTTCCACACACATAGGGTTATACAGTAACCCTCCATGGGGAAATGTTAGGTATAACTATAGTCATAGTCACTTCAGTCATTCCCTTCCCTGCCCCCAGGGGTGGGGAGGCTGAGGCACAAGCACTAGCTGTCACTCAAGTGGCACCACTCACCCTTCTTTCTTGCTCTCTACCATGCTTTCAGGCTGCTTTGCTCTCCACAGGCTGCTGTTCCACAGACTAGGGACCCCCACCCTCACACATTCTGTGTAGACCAAGTGGGAAACCTCCCCCATGACCATCCACAGGGACCAGGATGCTCTCAGTTATTCCTCCAGGCTGTTGACAACCTACTTGTTCCAGGCAAGCTTCTACATGACAAACAGTTATGCAGCAGGTGAAAGTGCTCCTACAATGGTGCTGGACCCATAAAGGACTCCACTAACTTCACTGCTGTCTGACAAGGCCCTGCCCGACATGCGTCTTTCCCTTTCAGGATGGCCTTCATCCCAGATGCTATTCAGTATGGAATGATGAGTTTGCTACATGCATTGTTTCTTTGTCACTAAAGAGTGGTAGATCAGGACCACGTTCTCATCAACCTGGTATGATCTGGTTTGAGCTGGCCTCAGGATGAGGTTCTGAGGAGGGCAGGCAAAGTGTTGGGCTCAAAGGCTAGTGGCTCCTCCACTCTGCTCTCTCAGATCCCCTGGATCTTACAGGGTTGTTGGAAGGATTGCAAGATAATTCTGTGAAGTCCTTTGAACATTCCAAAGCACTCCATATAGAACTGAAGAACTGTAGAGATGGAAGAAACCCTCAGGATCATCTAGTCCGACCCCCTGCAAGGCAGGAATATGCAGCTGTCCCTTACAGGAATCGAACCTGCAACCTTGGCATTATCAGCACCCCATTCTAACCAACTGAACTATGTGCTAGGTATTACTACTGCTGCAAGTAATAATTATCAGTGCTCCCAAATCATCAAGACAGTCTCCTGCTCTCAATTACTGCTCAGTCATCCTAAGAACTTTAAATTGAATTTTTACTTACTTGATTTTTTTTACTGTAAGGAACATTTACTTGATGGGGTGGAAATCCTTAGGAGAAAAAAGAAGTTGGAAATAACAGTGTGGCTGTCCTTGCCCCCTGCACCCCCACCAAGGGGTGGTGGAATGGGGAATCCCACTTCTGGCACAGGGTCATTGTGGCTAGTGCTACGGTTAAAATTCAGATTGTCTGATTGTGTGGAAGACCAATCAGGGCAGGGGTGTGGTTGGGGAGAATGGGGAACGTGCACCTTTTCAGCAACCTCCTCCCCTAGCAAAGGTGTTTATCCCATTGACAAGCAGTCAAGCAAGCCCCCATGGTCCTTTTGTAATTGCTGCATTAGCAGAGGATCAAGTAGCACTTAATGGTTGCACGCTGTCATAAAACATGCTTGAAAAGGTCAGGCCCCTCGTGAAGGGAGAATATTTGTGGCACTCTGACATAAGCCTTGGCCGCTCACTCGCAACAGGTGCATGCTTGTAGCCCCTCCTCTAAGAACCAACGTCTGCCGTGAACCTCCTCTCCTTACCACACGTCAGGCTGGTTTGCATGACTCCTGCTTGCTGAAGCTCTCACAAATCATTGCTGAGATTAGCAGGGAAGAATGTGGAAAAGGCATTCAAACGCAGAAATGGTGGGCAAAGGCAGAAGGCAAACAGGAGCATCCATTCCATCCAGCATAGGCTTTATAGCATAGAATCTTAGAATTGTAGAGTGGGGAGGGACCCCAAGAGTCATCTATTCCTACCCCCTGCAATGCAGGAATCCCAGCTAAAGCATCCATGACAGATGACCAGCCAACCTCTGCTTAAAAAGCTCCAATGAATGAGAGTCCACAGCCACCCAAGGGAGTTTGTTCCACTGTCAAACAGCTCCTACTGTCATTAAAAAAAAAAAGTTATATCCTTCCTTCTCCCCCCACCCCAAGAAACTCAACATTGCTTGCAACAATAAAACAGGCATTGTCAAAGACCGAAACAACCAAAGTTCAAATCCACAAAAAACAATAACCACCTGAAGGCTCATCATCTCTGGTTTTTGCCATCTGTTTTTCTCTCTCCTTCCCTTCCTGTGATTTGGGAAAACTTGAAGGCCGCAGTGGAAATGGAATCCTCCCTTAATGACCGAGGCTGAAAAGAGTGGTCAGTGCAGGAACACTTGAAGTTTCCCCCGACACTGTCAGTGTGGGACTTTTTTATGGGGGACATTCACTGTCCTGCAGCATAAATCACTGCCACAGCTGAACCTTGAGATGGCACAGTCTGTGTGGTCCCAGGAAGGGAAAAGATTATCTGCATTTGAATAGCTACGTTGTCTTAGTAATTGATTGAAAAGAAAATCCCTGGCAACGTGAGAATCAGTTGTCTGGAGCTATCTGAAGGCCTCTTTGTGGAAGCCTTCTCAAGGGAAAGAGTTGGCACAGATGTACTCTTGGATTGGCTGCAGTTGGTTGGATAGAGGGGTCTGGAGATTAGCAGCTGAATTGGAGATGTCCTTGCAGGATGAAGCAATCAGCTCTTCTGTGACTGTTTATTCGGAAAGAAACTATTAAGCTGAATGTTGGTTTGTTACAGTCAATAGAATCTGCACAGGGTCCGTCCCCCCAGTCAAGTAGACAAAAACAGTAGGACATCAGCCACAAGAGTTGAGACTCTCTAGTCCAGGGGTAGGCAACCTAACGCCCATGGGCTGGATGCGGCCCAATCGCCTTCTCAATCTGGCCCGCAGACAGTCCAGGAATCAGCATGTTTTTACATGAGTAGAATGTGTCCTTTTATTTAAAATGCACCTCTGGGTTATTTGTGGGGGCTGCCTGGTGTTTTTACATGAGTAGAATGTGTGCTTTTATTTAAAATGCATCTTTGGGTTATTTGTGGGGCATAGGAATTTGTTTATTATTATTATTATTATTATTATTATTTTCAAAATATAGTCCAGCCCACCACATGGTCTGAGGGACGGTGGACCAGCCCACAGCTGAAAAAGGTTGTTGACCCCTGCTCTAGTCCTTATCTTAGATTGGTCAAAAATTTCCTTACCAGCAATCCAGTGAAACTGCAGGCATTCCAGATATAACTTCCCTACTTGCATAGAACTCTATGTTTTCTGTGGAATGGGAGTCTTGCGTTCATAATTGAATAAACTCTATGTGTAGGGCAGTGTGCACATGAATTTTTGCATGCGGTGAAGGGGATGTGGAGCTCTGGAGTGGTGGCACTATTTTTCTCCTTGCTGAAGCCACCAAATTCTGGATCTTTTCCAACTTCAGGTGAATTCAAGTGTTTGATTCAACACATGAACTCTGTATCCAGAGCTCCCCTCCGTGTCTCGGTGCAGATTACACACTCACCCACAGTACCTTCCCTTCCCCACACTGTACAGGGAAGATTTGCAAGGGGGCTTCTACTCACGTGGCTTGAGCTTATCCGGATCCCTCATCATGTAGTAGGTTCTACTTGTGTTCACGCAAACATGAGTAGAAATCCCCTGCAGACCTTTCCAACTCAATGTAGAGAAGATTGGGGACTAAGTGCACAGGGTGATGTGCATAGGCATGGTGGGGGTGGAATTTGTGTGCACACTCCTGCTCCCAACCACGAGTACTGCATTTGCATGTTCAGGCAAACATAGGAACGCAACTTCAATATTAGTGCTTAAGGATCAATGATCCTGTGCAGCAGGGAGCAGATGTGTTGTCTCTGTTGTCTTTACGGTGGCTACTGAAGTCCTTCCTGTTTCAATAAGCCTTTTAAGATGAGATCTTTCTCAGTCTGTATCTGCACTGGAATGGTTTTTAATACGCTTTTATCATTTTATCACTTGTTATTTTATATCCTGGGCTTCTTTGAGAGGAAGGGAGGAGGTGTACATTTAATTAATAAATGCAATAAACTTGTGGCCCTCCAGATGTTGCCAACATGGCCAATGGTTAGAGATTATGTAAATTGTGTTTTACATAAGTGGTTTGACTCCAGATATGGTTCATCTAGATATTTATCTATGTTATAATATTTTCAGTATATGCACTCACATCACCTGAGCACCAGAATTCAGACCTTTTATGCTGTTCTGATGCATGATTGTAAAACAGAGGACTGTGGGGACAAACATGCTACTAGCTCCATGCCTTGTCGCTATTCTGGTTGCCCTACACAAGTTGGAGTCTGGCCCTGTACCTGCGGAGGCTCCTTGTACGTTTTGAACTCTGGAAAATCAGGGCTCTGAGACGTGCCTTCACACTCATGGAAAGTAACTGGAATGGCAGTGGGGGTGGAGATAGCATGTGCTTCATGTATTTACTCAACCCAGATAGTGAATGCCTGAAGAGGACTAGTGTACCCAATAATGATGCTATTACATCAGTTCAACTGCCTGGGGAAAAAATACGCTGTCTCTAATCACTCGTGTAATTTAGGTTTGCAGATTTCCATGGTAATACTGTGAAGGGGAGAGGAAAATACAAAAGGTCCTAGTAAAATTCTTCATTTTTATCCCATATATCAGACAACAAGACATTTTGAGAAATAGCTCAGTGATGCTTGACAATGTACTGCTATAGAAATAGTAAAATCCCGGTTACTGCTATAGAAATAATAGAAGCAGGAGTTCAGTTTGGAGATGTACCCTTATCATTTTTCCTCAGTGTTGTTTGGAGGTCTGTCAGTGACATCCTGTAACCCATTTTGTTACCTTCTCTCTGAAGAATGAGAGAACATGTCTGAGTCTGAATGACAAATTCCAGATATATTATTATTCCTGACGTTTCCTTTCTAGGAAAGGAAGCCTCCCAAGACTATGTACCAAGCAGTTATTAACCAGAAGCTACAGGGCCTGAAGACTCTTTTATAAATAACTATGTAAAGAGGTGAGAAACATTCATTGGGGTAATTTACACTGTTCACCCAATTCACCCTTCAAAAGTGCCATTGCACAGAAACTAGCACCTCCGATGTTGGCAATGTCAAACACACGCACCCTTGGCTTCTCCACTTCTGTTTATGTACGGTGGGTCGTGGGCCTGATCTCACAGGTCACGATATGTTTCCCAATAAAAATTGTTCATATACCCAAAGCCTGAAGTGAAAGAATTTTTACTAGAGCTGGCACCATGGAAAGGGTATGGATGTTGACGGTAAACAAATACTACTGCTGGCAGTGTGAAAGGGCAGCTTCTGTGGGATTGCTCCCTCAGGAATGCCAAGTGCTGTGTGGATTATCTATACCAGCAGGGGTTAGGAATTGAGTTGAGCATTTTGCTGACGAATTGCTTCAGCGCCTCCCCTATTCTGAGCTCACTTTTCCCTTTGCAGCCTTTACACTATGGGACTTCTGTCTCTTAAGTTGATGTGGCTCCATGTTATCATCAAGTCTAAACCAAATTTGAGAATCTGTTTTACAGAGGGTTTTAAAAAAACAAAACACAAAAAAAGCAAAAACAGGCAGGACCTTATTTTGTCCCCTTTCTGCCGTAGTGTGGTTTGGAATCTACAATTGTCTAATCTTGCATTAAAAAACTATGGCCTTGTTGGCAGCTCTGCAGAGCTGGAGTCTGCTTCGTTAGCTGTATGTAGGAGTTGTGTGACATATGGGAAAGGGCTAGGACAGCCTACTTGCTATTATTATTATCATTATTTATTAAATTTGTATACCGCCCTATACCCTCAGTGGCCATCACAGCATCCCTAGAGGTGACCTGAAAGCTGTGTAGGAAAGCCTGATCTATTACAATTGCAGTCTCTTCTTGCTATGTTCTACCTTTATTGTTGTTGTTTAGTCGTTTAGTCATGTCCGACTCTTCGTGACCCCATGGACCAGAGCACGCCAGGCACTCCTGTCTTCCACTGCCTCCCGCAGTTTGGTCAAACTCATGCTGGTAGCTTTGAGAACACTATCCAACCATCTCGTCGTCTGTCGTCCCCTTCTCCTTGTGCCCTCCATCTTTCCCATCAGGTTCTTTTCCAACGAGTCTTCTCTTCTCATGAGGTGGCCAAAGTATTGGAGCCTTAGCCTCAGGACCTGTCCTTCCAGTGAGCACTCAGGACTGATTTCCTTAAGAGTGGAGAGGTTTGAGCTTCTTGCAGTCCATGGGACTCTCAAGAGTCTCCTCCAGCACCATAATTAAAAAGCATCAATTCTCTGGCGATCAGCCTTCTTTATGGTCCAGCTCTCACTTCCATACATCACTACTGAGAAAACCATAGCTTTAACTATACGGACCTTTGTCGGCAAGGTGATGTCTCTGCTTTTTAAGATGCTGTCTAGGTTTGTCTAGGTTTGTTCTACCTTAAGAACACCTTAAAAACCAGTGCAAAATTTATGGTTTTAAAAGAAAACCATAAACAGCTGAGGAAAAAAGCCCTGGGGATACATCTGGCTATTTTAGGTATGCCCATGATTTAGGCTTCCCTTAGTGTTGCCTCAGTTTCAAAAGCATAAGCACAAAATCCTGTTGAGGGTGAGGAGCTAAGTTGGATTGGTATGGAGACAAAATTTGATTGCGCTTAAAGGTGAACTTATCTAATTCCCACTTTCTGAAACAATGTGCAAATTGAAATGCACTCATTTTTTTGAAATTTGCACTTCTCCGAATTTTGCAATGCAGTTCTCTAGCCAAGTGTACAAAAATGCATTCACCAAACTGTGCATATAAGTGCATATATTAATGAGAGTAACATACAATATGCTTTATATTTTGGAAAATTGCTTTGCAAAATTGTGTGCATTAAGCAAAACTACATACCCAAAAGTGTCTGTTAGAAGAAATCCACACTAAAATGCTGCTGAGTTCTCATGAGGACTTTTTTAAAAGTGCACACTGATATGGAAATGTGGAGGACTGAGTTTAAAACTGGGAGTGGGGGAATGAGAATTGCTGCCTCTTGTCAATTTTTATCTCTTCCTGTAGCTAATGACATCATCCAAATGAAGCACCTTTTTAATGTGGCAGGGGATTCATTTCATGAAGAGCGAGCTGAACTTTTTTTTTGAGACCCCTCAGGGACTGAAGGGCGCTGTCCAAGATTTCCATGGACTCTCTGGATACAGGATAGGCCTCGCTTGAACATAAATGTGTCATCAGCCGTACCTCCTTCTGCAATTCTTGCACCGTTTCCTTTCCTGGTCCCATCAGGAATAGGCGACTGGGCTGCAAATTGGGCATGTTCCCCTCAAAGTAGAAAACAGTTGCTAGATGGAAAGATGGAAGTTCAAGGTTGCAGAGTGTAAAATGAGATATGCCTGGGAAAAATTATGCTGAATGAATCTAAAAAGCACATGACTTGGCCTAAGGAATGGGAGATTATCCATTCACTGTCATGAAGATAAACATGTCACAGACGGTCCTTTGGACCATCTGGGGACACCTGATCTGCCAATAAAAGAGATTGACAGGAGCCTGCTGGGCTTCATTAATGCCCAAGGCGGAAAACTGTTTGCTGCCCATTATCTTCGCTTCAAAGGCGTGGATTTGCACCAGTCAAAAATGGACAACAAAAAGGAGACCAACATTATTCTCCTGTTTTGTCTTTCTCATGGGTTGATTTATACCTCCTGGCCTATTAATCAACTTCGACATCTTAAGCATCCACCACAGCCTCCACACATTTACTGAAGCCACCTGTACTTTGTAGCCTGCCAAACAAATAATTACTTTTATAGTACCTGTTCCATCCTAATTTCTACTCTGCTTCATATCTATATTGCTGTCAGATCCCTGCACACTACTTAATTTTCTGTCTTTTTCTGTGTCCCTAGGGATTAATCTTGCGGTCAGGATGCTGTTCAGGCCAACAGAGTAGGTTGCAAATTAGTTCATCCAGGTTGTGTTTAAGATTGGTTTTCTTTATTTTATTATTATTAAATTGGACAGGCCTGAGTCAATTGCTTCCACTGGCAAAAGGCCAAGCTACATGTACATACCAGATAGCCTTTACTCTTAATCGCTGTCTCCTGGCAAGCTCCAAAAGGTGAAGCAGCTTCTCTTCCTATCAGTCTAAGATTTCTTAGACCACAGTAGTAGGGAAAGTGTTTCTTTACATTCACACATGGGAGCGGATTCTGCAGTCAGGTTTGGGCTAGATTAGAATAAAATGCTTCCTGGAAGAATCCCAGTAGACAATCATTTCCTGTTACGTTGTGGTCTTTCTTTCTCCCTCCCAGCTATAAACAGCCATACATAACATGTTGTGTAAGGAATACTGCATTTTTTATTTTTGACAACCGGAGCAGTTAAGAAATCATTTGTTTATTTATTACTTGGGGGGGGGGAGCAGAGAATAAATATGAAATAGAATGTAATACTGTGTTGCCTGAACGTAGTTTTCTAAGGACTTCAGCTCATACTTGATCTACATATAGAGAAGAATGAAAGTGGTCCAGTAATTAAAAGGTGGCAGACTGGACTGAACTATTCTAGGTTGCAAGAGGAGTCACAATTTTTATAATGTTTTCCCATGTTGTTGTTGTTTTAAAATCCTTACAAATAAAATACAACAGGGAGATACTAGCCCATTTTACTTCTTTTTTAAAAAAAATAATATTTATTGCTTTTTATACCTTACAAAAAGAAAAAAAGAAAAGAAGAAAAGAAGAAAAAAAGCAAAAGAGAAAACAATACAATACAATATATAAACAATACAGAACGCAACATTAACATTAACACATTAAACAAAACAAAAGCAAAAACAATTCAAAAAACACACATCATACCATCTCAATATCCTCTCTTTCATTCCCTTGTTTCATCGACCTCCTCTCACCTCCCTTTTTGTATTCCATTTCTATTAATTGTTTCAGCAAATACTTTCCATCTTTCTCTATTTTCTGTCATGTAATTATCTTAACATATTTTAACCTTATTTTCCATTAATACTATAATACTTATTTATACTTAATTCCTTAAAATATTTCTACTAAAGCCGTATAATTCCCTTCCAACATTTTTCTAACACTCATTAATTTTACATTATTTCCATATATAGATTTTAAACTTTTTCCAATATTCTTCCACCGTCTCTTCTCCCTGGTCTCGGGTTCTGCCAGTCATTTCCGTCAATTCCATATAGCCCATCAACCTGGTGATCTTCTGTCCGAGGCTCTTAACTCTTTTCCAGGTCCCTTCTGCAAGTCTTCTTCATGTTTATACATGCACTTTACTTTGTCTTCTCCTGATCTTGTTCTTATTTTCCTTCCTTTGATGCTGAAAAGTAGATCTCCGGGAAATTCCCATCTAGCAATGTTTTTATTCCTTCTCGACAAATCAGCCAAATCTCCATAGTTAGAACTGAAATTCAAAAGATATTTCCAGTCGTGTTTCAAAGTTCCTCCAAGTCTGGCAGTCCCCACAACTCCAGTCTCCTTCTGACCCAAGTCCAGGTCCCAAAGGTCAATCTCCAGTCCAAGCAGGGCTCCAATCCTAAAAGTCTGACTTTCTCTAAATTCAGTCTTGGAAGGCATCAACTTATAATCATCAAATTGCAACTGTAAGGCTGGAGCTCTCTCCCTCACCACTTGTGCTACTTTAGGTTCCACAGCAAAAACTTTCTCCCCCGCCTTCTCCTCAATTTGCCATGTCAAAATTGATCCCTGTATCGATTCCTGAATAATTTCTGTATTAATATTGACTTTTTGTGCCAAATTAGTCACTTTTTGTTCCAAGTTATCAATTTTTATAGTCCTCGCATCCGTCTTCTTATAAAGCTGTTCCAGTGAATCATTAATCTTACAAAATGCAACCACCAAGGCTTCTTTTGTCAACATTCTTAACGATTCAAGGTCAATCCCAGATTCTCACAGTTTTATCTTGCCGGTGGAAAATTCCCCCAGCTCAGCTCTTGTAACAATTTCAAAGGCTTCCTCTAGGGGGAAACAATTTCTATTTGTATCAATCCTTTTTTAAGCACAGTTCAAACAATAAAGTTAGTTTCAATTTTCAGTTACTTTTACTCCTTTTTAAACGCAGAAGAAGACAATGGAAACAATGTATTTCTCTTCATTAACTTACTGTCAGCAGACGATCTATTCACAGTCAATGAGCATATCCGAAACTTCAATCTTTACTAGCAGCCCGTTTCCAGGTTCAGAGCGGTGGTAATTTGACTTTCTTCACTCTCTCCTGCAGGCTTACGCGATCTTAAATTTCCCCCCTCTTCTCCTGCTTCCAAGGGGGGTTTGATGGTTTAACTGATGGAAGTTTAATCCTTTATGTGAGACTTTCCAAGGCTTTAGCTTGCAGCCTCTTTGCTTCAATCTATTTACAAAAGGGGGAGGCGGACTTCCTGTTTGAAACCTCCCCGTTTCGGTGCCAAATTAAGACGTTTAAAAATTCAATTTTCCGTTCTACTCATGGGTAGTTGTTTTAAGATCAAATTGTCTACAGGAAAAAGTCAGCGCTCTCCTGCAACAGCAATGGGGCTTCACTCCATGAAAGAAGCAGTCGATTCGAAGCACCACACCATTCACCCCACGTCGCTCCGGATCCCCGAAACCGGGTTTCCCCGCGAGTAGGGGAGGCGCAAAAGGTGCCAGCCGAATCCCACGTCCACAAGCTTCTCCCGCCTGTGGTTTTTAGTGGGGCCAGACCCTGATTTCCACGGAGCGGATTCCTCCCGATCAGAGGAATTCCTCCATTGCTGGAGGCGCTAACCTGGAAGTCTAGCCCATTTTACTTCTTGCTCTGCTAGTTTATTCGTTGTGGGGAGCCTTTTATATTTAAAAGGTTGAATTCACCAGCAGTCTGAAATGATATGTCAGCTCAGGATTCTTAGACCACTGGTTGTCTTCCAGTGGTCAGTTCAGAGTACCTGTTTAGCTATACAGGTGACTCCCCACTTACCGTATTTTTCGCTCCATAAGATGCACCTGACCATAAGACTCACCTAATTTTTAGAGGGGGAATGCAAGAAAAAAATATTCTTTAAAGGGAGCGCTGAACAGAGCCTGTATGCATCCCAGGCTCTGCTCAGCGCTCCCTTTCACGAGCTGCGTGGAGCGTGTGTGCGGTGCTTGCAGGCTTTTCCCCGAGGAGGGAGAAGAGCAGCCCGTCACTGACGGGCTGCCCTTTTCCCTCCTGGGGAAAAGCCCCCAAGAGCCACACACATGCTCCGCGCGGCTCTTTAAAAGAAGCACGGCTCTTGGGGGCTTTTCCAGGAGGTGGGGGAAGGGACAGAGGGGCTAAGCCAGAAGCTAGAACAGCAAGAAGGAGCGCTGCGCAGCGATCCCTCTCACTGTTCTGGCTTCTGGGATAGCCGCGCAGCCAGCATTCACTCCATAACACACACACACACATTTCCCCTGACTTTTTAGGAGGGAAAAAGTGCATCTTATAGAGCGAAAAATACGTTCCAGGCCCCCATGCACTTAAGTAAAATGTGGAAGTGGGGAGCCCGCTGCAGTACATTCAGCTTCCCGCCCAACAGCTGTTGAGCAGGGTAGCATGGCAGCAGCGAGACCTCTCATGCCCTTTAAATGTGAACTAAATCGTATTTCTCACCCATCCCTAGTCATGGCTGCCTTTCTCTCTCTCTGGAATTTGTATTGTTGTACTGTGATGAGTGCTTACATAGTTATGACAATGCCTGTTGGGACAAATAATAGTAAACTATGCCAAGTGTAAAAGATTAAGAGCCAATTCATACAGCCATTAGACATGAGATTACAAAATACTGGTTTTGCCTGTGGCTCAGATGCTGCCTGGTATACATGATTAAGCTTTCACATCACCGTTTTAGATATCTTTTGAGGGTTTGCTGTGGTGTTCAAGACATTTAAGTGGGATGTGGGTGGCACTGTGGTCTAAACCACTGAGCCCCTTGGGCTTGCTGATCATAAGTTTGGCGGTTCGAATCCCCGCCACGGGGTGAGCTCCCATTGTTCTGTCCCAGCTTCTGCCAACCTAGCAGTTCGAAAGCATGCCAGTGCAAGTAGATAAATAGGTACCGCTGCGACTGGAAGGTAAATGGTGTTTCCGTGTGCTCTGGTTTCCGTCACGGTGTTCCGAAAGCTGTTTGCAGACAAACACCGGCTCCCTCAGCCTGAAAGCAAGGTGAGCGCCACAACCCCATAGTCACATTTGACTGGACTTAACTATCCAGGGGTCCTTTACCTTTACCTATCTTTCAAGACATTTAATCCTACATATAGATGGGTCACACACTTCAGCTGCATTTCATAGTTTCTGACAGAAGCGGATGAGAAAGAGATTGCAGATGCCTCAGATCAGTAGAGACTTGTCATAAACAACGAGTGTGAGCATGCCTTTCATTAATTCAGTTTCTTCCCTCATGGGGCAAGACCTTTCTTTATTCTCTGAGCGCCTTAGAGGAGCAGACTATACATTTAGCCTTCCAGTAGCCTCATAGATGAAAAGAGACAACATCGTTCTCCAACTTTTTCTTTTTTATTCCAGCTCCTTTGGCCATTTCCAAGCAAAGGAACACGGCATTGCCTCGGGGACATCAGCAAGATCAGCTGATGATGACAATTTGAGATGTGGGCTGTGTCTGACCAGGCTTTCTGTCACCAAGGTAATCTGCAACCGGTATCCAACAGCTTCATTCAGCAGCCTTGTAAATGTTCTCAGATCGCCTGTCCACCCCTGTGCTATGCTGCAGCTCCTGCTGGGGCCCTGAGGCAAATGGACGAGACGAGAGATCGTGTGGTAGTCAAGTTGTAAAACAAGATAAGATTTCACAAAGCAAATGAAATCAGTTACTGTCAAATGTGCTGCTAGGAGTATGTTTCAACATTCGGTGCACATAGCTGAGTGCGATCTGAAGAGAAACCAGAGTATCGTGCACATGGCTGATAGCTAGTTTCTTTAATGCAGAACAGATCTGCTCATTCATGGTGGTTTATAGAGATAAACAGCTCTTGCTCTCTTCTCCCAAACTTTTCTACTAATCTCTTACAAGGAACAACAGAGGGTGAAATCTACCTGTTCTCCCACTGTTCCGTTAATAGCCCAGTGCTCTCTGGATCAACATGTACTTGAACTAAGAGAGAGAAATCTGAATCTGAAGCTCTGTGCTAATGGGGAGTCTACGACTTTACAGCAAAGTTGATCTGTTGTTCCCTTCTTGGGCTAATTTGAGCTCAGCTCTATGACCTGTGGATTGCAAATTCAAGCCAGCCTCTTATTCAGAAGTAATTCCTACCCTACTACGCCTTTGTGGTGCAAGTCCATCCCTTCCAGTATGTTTCTGCCTTTCAAATGCATGGAGAGTAATAATGATACCAAGCCACTTCTCTGAGGGTGCCTCCTGTATTTTTCAGGTGGGATTCACACACATCTTGGTACTTTAGGTTTGTGCAGTTAAAGGAGATTAATGTTCAATAAACAAATAGTAGTGTTGTACAACTCACTGTCCAGGACTTACAAAGATCACTTTAATAATACATACGAATGATGATGGGGATTCAGTTTACATTTAACGGTGAACCTATCCAATTCACACTTTCCAAATCAATATGAAAATAAAAACACAGCCATCCTTCAAAATTTGCACTTTTTCAAATTTTGCACTACAATTCTGGAATGAAAAGATGCTTACAAAATTGCATCTGTTAGGGTAAAATGTGCATAAAATGCATTCATTAGTGAAAATGGCATACAAAAATGCATTATATTAGCGGAAATTGCTCTGCAAAAATGTGTTTGGGGCAAAACTGCATACAAAAATGTGTATATTGTGAGAAATTTATACCACAATGCTAATGAATTTTCATGAAGACTTAAAAAAATAATAATCACAAATTGATGTGAAAATGTGGGGAACTGAACTTAAGACTGAAAAACTGAGAAATGGAAAGAAACTAAAATGGATAGAATTCCCCTTGCCTGCTTGCCAAGTACTTTGTCCCTTACCCTCAAATAATAGAGAAGGAACACTGAAATTTAACAGATTCCAGAAATCCTGGTTCTGTGCAGAGTTTCAGCATTGTCCTTTTTTGGACTGCAAAAACAAACACATTTCCAGCTCCAAAAGCAGGAAAAGATGTCAGGGGTGGTGCTGAATGATAACTCCATTCGGAACCATTGCATCATATCATAGCAGTGATGCTACTTTGACTGGAGTCCAAGGTGTCTGCAGCCTGGAGCAATTGCTCACTGTCCAGCCTCAGACAAACATTCCAGGGGAATCTAATGCCTGTACCTGGCATGGCTCCTCCCGTGCCATAAATGGTTACATTACATTCAAGCTGGCATTAAAGAGCAGGGCTGAAACCTCATCCATCCAAGACCCAAATTGGCTTAGCATGTGTGCAGGATATCAGAGATCGCTAAGCCATCTTGAAGTCTATTTACTTTCAGACAAAGGCTAGAGAACAAGCTCCCTGCTTCCTTGAAACTCGCCTGTAGGCATTCTGTGGTTTCTTTGATATGTAATGTAACAAAAGGCAATTCTAATTGTGTTGGAAACGAGAGCATCCAAACATAGGTCCTGAAGCATGGGTCATTCTGGCACTAACTGTGGTTGTTGGTGCCACTTCTGGACAGGGGCAGGGGAGCCCATAGACCTGGCATAGAATCAGATCAATGCTGTGGTGCGCCCCTCCAGCTCAGAAATTTAGAGGCAACCCCCTCTCCCCAGTGCATTGTGAATGTGTGCCTAATTACTGTAGTGTTTTTGCCTTTTGGCACACTTAGAAAAAGTATGTGATGTCATTGGTGCCAAAAAACATCCTTTGTGCTCAAAGAAAAGAAAATGCTAAATTAAAACCAGGATATCCGCAGTTATTGGATATCCCTGCTATTGGCTATTAGAACAATCTCCTGCATGTCCAGGTGTGAGAACAGTTTAAGAACAGCACTGCATACCAGGTAAGGTGATATGCTGTTCTGTGTGAAGGATCTGAAGCAAGACCTAAGAAACATACTTTTTGCTTTCCTGCTTCCCACCGCTGCCACCACCTCTTTAGCCGGCCCAGCCTTTGTTATCCAAGAATACTGTTACAGAACTCATTTTGTAAACTGAGTACAGGAAACTGAGATAGGAAAGCTTTTGGGGTTTCAAAGTCACTCTTTTGCTTCTCACAGTTAAACCATCTGGTGACAGAAGAACTGGTAAGCCATGGAATTCCAGCTGTGGGCATTTCGGTAAGGGCACCTGTTGTTTCTCCTTTCTTAGGTTATTCTGTTTTTCTAGGGCAAGAGTGGGCAAAAAATAATAATAAAATGGTCCAGAGGGAAATTCTCCCAGTCTAACCTGTTGAGAGGTGCATCTCCTTTTGGAGCCAGAGATAAAAGTGTTTGAAATTAATTAATCTGGAATAAACACTGCCCTGCTTCAGTTTTAACGATAGCTACCTCCTATTAGAATTCCCAACCCTATGCATGCCTACATTTTTGTGTTTGGTGAGGTTTCTCTTGAGTAGGTATGCAGATATATTTAGTACAATAGACAAATGCAGCTACTATTCTGAAAAAGAAGCGGAAGCAATTCCTTTCTGACTTTCGTGTGCCACACACACGACAGAAGTCTACCAATTTGTTCTTGAACAACAGGGCAAAGAACATACTGGGTGCTATCCAACGAACTCATTCTGTCAGTGTAAGTATTTCCATTTGTGCAATGGAACTTCCTGCCTCATCCCCTCCCCTGGTACTCCCTGACTCTTTTCCAGAGGGTTCCCCAAACCTCTGGAGCTGATTTGGTGGGGGTGCACAGGGGGGGGAGAGGGGAAAGTTGTGTTGTGCAAGTGGAAACCCTTGTGCAGACGGAACAAGTTCATTGGATACAGCCCAGCTTCCCCAAGCCATACAGTTAAGAAAAAAGTAACAAAAATCAAATCATTTTTATCCAATAAAATACTGTTACTTAGAAACTGGGAGGGAATATTTCTAAAAGACGAGAGAGAGAGAGAGAGAGAGAGAGAGAGAGAGAGAGAGAGAGGAAATGATTTAAAAGGGATTGAACTCCAATGAGATGGCAGCTTTAGGCGGCTCCAGTTCCCGGGACCTCATAAAATGAGGTTGAGGTTGAGTAGAAGAAAAGAATGGCAAGGACATTTGAGTGGATGGGAGGAATTGGGAAGTTGTCCTAGACTGAGGAGTGTTTATGGTCATGTACAGGTCTGCTGTACATCAACTGTTGACTTTTCACAATGCATGTTGAACCTATTAAAGAACTTAATTGAATGTAATCATTTTTAACTCATTAATTAATTAAATTTAAATATATTTGTATCTTACTGATATCTATATACTTGTCTTTTGAGATATCCATGTGTTAAGACAATTTACAATTTAATAAACAAGTGCTACCAGTCAGGAACGTGGCCCCCCAGAGCACAGCTCTGGTCAGCCTCAGTAATTGAGCTAAGCAAGCAAGGGGCCGACTCTGCAGAGGAAAGCTGTTTTTCAGAGTTTAGAGAGGACAGCCCAGCTCCCCTCATTCCCAGGGAAGAAGCTGTTAGCTCCCAAGGAGAGGAAGAGTTGGAAGTTGGCCCGAGCATTGCCAGGCAACTAGCAGATAAACCAGAGTCTGAGGCTGTGTCTTCTGGGAGTGGGGAGGAGACGGGCCAGTCGTTCAGTCCCCGTACTAGGAGGCTGGAGAAGCTCAGAGAAGAAAGGAGAGGAAAGGCGGGATTTTGGCATTCTTCCTGTTGTGGGAGGGACAATGAGTCAGACTGAGCAACTACTGTTAATGAGAGCACACGGGAGGCTGTGCTCTGGATGTGATTTTTCTTGTAAATAAACTTGCATAAAACTGACAGAGAGTTGTTACTGCTTATCAGACTGCTTGCCTGCCAGAGATCATTACAGCATCATTCAGTGTTAGAAAGTAAGGGAATTTATTTTTAAAAATCCCTTTTCATGCCCTGTTATGGAAACATACAGGAATCAAAGCAGCCCCAAAAGCAAAGAGTAAGATATAACGTACCATGAGCTGGTGTCAGTTAATGCCTGCAGCCAGCTGCCCCCCTACCCTCCATTCCAAATTCTCTGGAAAGTTGAAGAACCTATGGAGCAAATTTCAAGGACTTGGGGACAGGAGGAGAAAAGAGAAACCAGAATTTCTGTGGCATAAGCCAATGTCTGTTACACAAGCCATTGCGTACCACCCCAAAGTGCATGTAGCCTTAATTAGCAACTTTTCATATTCCTTGATTCATTAGTAGTCAGCAGTATTGGCATTGCAAAATGACTTTTCCATTGCATTTGTAACAGTTTGATGTTAGATGCAGTTAATCTAATCGTTGTATTATATATTGATTGGCACCTGAAGTGCTGGATCATAGGAAACAGCTTGGGGGAAAATGGCTGTCTTGAATGACAGAGACAAGCAGCATTGTTTGCCTTTGTTGTCTTTCTCCCACAGCCTTTTGGAACCTGGAAAACATCATGCAAGAATGTCATCCAGGCTGGTTTCGATACAGTGAAGGATGTTTTAGACTCGGGCTATGTCCCCGTTTTACATGGTGATTGTGCTCTGGACTCGGAGCAGCACTGCTGCATCTTATCTGGAGATAAAATCATTGAGGTGAGAGATGAGTTCAATTTCATGCATACCAATATGTAAATAGCACTGTGTTTATCCTTAATAGGTCATTCCCATCTTTGTCAGGTAGTTCAGCTGGCAGCTAGGGATGGGGAAGACATTTGATTCAATGTGCTTCTAATGGTGAACCTATCACTTTCCAAAACCATATGCAAACCGAAACACAGCCATCCTCTGAAATTTGTACTTCTCTGAATTTTGCAATGCAGTTCTCCAGCCAAGGAATGTGTACAAAAATGCATTGCTAAGGCAACATATGCCCAAAAGCCCATATTTGTGAAAATAACATACAAATGCATTGCCTTGGGGGAATAAAAATGTGCATAGTATGCAAAATTACATATAAATTTATTATGGTATAAGCGTCTGTGGACTATGGTCCACTGCACTAAATGCAGCAAACTGTGGTCCTCCAAAACCTATGCCACAATACATTGGTTAGTCTTTAATGTGCTATAAGTCTCTTTCTTGTTTTCATTAACAAGCACCCCTAAACTGATCATTTACATTCTACAAGTTGTATATAATTTTCCATGTCACTTTTGTAACTGTGCATAAATATTTTGTATGAACATCAGGAAATAGTTTTAAAGAAATTATTGCCTAAGCTGCAGGGAGGTTTTGCTGTTATTATTCTCTCTCTTCCTCTGAAGTAAACAAATTCTCATAGTACATTTTCTGCATTTTCAGATACAAGGTTAATATAAGAGGTGGCCCTCAGATTTTAAGTTGCACAATTAGAACAGAACCATAGTTCCATGGTAGATCACATGCTTTGAATACAGAAGGTCCTTGGTTTCCTTTCTGTCATCTGAGGACTGAGAAAGGCTACTTTTTGAGTTACTGAGAGATGCTGCCCAGTGAGAGCAGAATCCAACTCAGCTAGATAGACCTGACTCAACATAAGGCAGATTTACATGGTCCTGTTCAATTTTTCCTCTTGCAGGTTCTCGCTAAGAAATTCTCTCCTAGGCGAGTTGTGTTTCTCACAGATGTCAGTGGAATTTACAGCTGTCCACCTGATACCCCAGGTACAGAATATACATGTATAAAATAGGACAATTTATTTTGCACAGGTGTGAAGTATTGGCAGGAAGGGTAAATCTAGCCAGTATCCAGACCAGCATGAAGAACTAGTGATTGAACTATGCAATTTGTAATAAGCATAACCATAATTATTCATGCCATCTTGTCTTGAAGTATTTATGTTCTACATATATCTTTCAGCAGATTTGACATGCTCTTTCTGAGCATAGGCATCTAGAAGGGTTGTGAGAAAGAGAGTATTTTCTGTGGTGTTTTGAAAGGGCAGTGGGAGTATTAAAGAGAATCCAGGAAACATATATAATAGGCACCATATTTGCACATGTCTTTAGACAGATGTGTGACTTGAGAGAGTACAATCATGCCCTTATAGAGTAACAAGATGGTACCTTAAGTGATTTGCAGAGTCATTAAAGAAAGCTGGGGGGCAGTTTGGACCTCCAAATTTCTGTGTGATCTTCCTAACCATTATGTCATCCAGGCTTCCTCCTTTGGCACAGGGAAATGACACATGGATTAAACTAACTGTTTCCATGTTGCAGTGTCTTTATGCTTTGGGGTCGACTTTTTCATGTTGTGTTTTGAAACATATATCCTTCTGGTAGCAATTTTGAACCATGTGTTTATTTTGGAAAAGGTGCTAGGCTTCTGGATTCCATTGTCGTCGGCCCTGATGGAAATATGGAGCCACCTGTGATCAGTTCTGTGCTGCCACATGATACTACTGGAGGTGTGTCCTTGAAGCTGCAAACTGCTGTAAATATCGTTTCCCAGAGTCACGGAACCATTCCAGTTCTGATCTGCAAACTGGACAGTGAAGCAGCTGAAAGGGCTTGTTTGACTGGGGAGCTGAAGCAAGGCGAAGGCACAACATTTTCCTTCGCAAAATCATGAAGACATCTCTGCATGAGCCTTAAATGGGGTGGAAGCAGAATTTAACAGAGGTGCTACCATTGGACTTCAGGATCTATTTGTTGTACTTGTCATAGTCGATGTCAGATATCGCAAATTAAATCTGTGATCCACTGATAATGTATTAGCATTGAATGATGGCACATCTTCTACTGTGGCTAAATATTGTTTTCCGTGTCAGTGACCTCAGTGTTCAAAATGGTTTACAATTATGTGACTGCACAAGCCTCGGTGGACTTAGGTTGCACTCAGAAATTGTATTCACTGTTTTAGTTTTAGCCATTTCTGACATTCCTTTCACACTTCAGTACCTATATACTGCTGGGTTGCACTCACTCTTGTTCATAGCAGAAGGTACTACAGTGTGAAAGGAATGTTAGAAATTGGGATTGCTGCCTCCCCTCAACAGCTGTTGAGGGGAGGGTGCAATCCTGAGGGGTGTGATGCTCCACAAGCGACTTTCCGAAAGGATCCAATGCACAGCCCTACAGAAAACTCCCACGATTTTCTGGATTTCCGGGACAGCAAGCGGATTTTTTAAAATAGCAAATATCACAGAAACAAGTGCTGAACTTGCTCTAGATTTTCCTGGATTTCTGGAAGTGGCTTTTACATCATGCGAAAGTTCAGATATAATGTGGAAAGTAACAGGGGGACGTCAGGTGAACAGAATGAACTGGCCTGTGAATGCAGCCTTAGAGATGGAGATCCCTTGTTGATTTGTTATCCCATATCCAAATAAACTCTCCTTTCTACTCTCCATTCTGGATTGATGCGAGGGAGTTCATCAAAATAATAAGCCAATTTATATATATAGCATACTATAATAAAGATAAAAATTGGCAGCATAATAACAGTTCCAGATAGCCAAAATAGGAATAAAAAGCATATTAACATTGAAAACAGATTAAGATAATGATGGTGTTTAGTCACAACAATAATAATTAGTAGTCACATTTATATTCCACCCTTCCTTCAAGGATGCAAGATAGCATTCATGGCAATTATCCTGTTTTCACCTCATGAGTATCGTGTGAAGTAGTTTAGGCTGAGAAGGAAAGGAAGAATGTCTTTGTCTTGGCCAGGATCACCCAGTGAGGTTCCTGGCCATGCAAGGATTCAAGCACAAGTTTCTCTGGTCCGTGTCCAACACTCTTGTTTCCACTACACCATACTGCCTCTCCATTTAGTACTGGAAGGACCTTAGCTGTGTGAAGAGCCTGAACTCAGATTACGGTTTCTACCAAAAGCATTAATGCTCTAATCAGCACAATACATAAGCAAAGCAAGAGTCAAAGGCACAACAGGGGCAAGGCTGAGACATTGATCTAACAGTTGATATGCCCCTGGAACCCTGTTATATAAATTATTATTATTAGGGAAGTTTTTAATGTCTGATGCTGTATTGTTTTTAATATTTGGTTGGAAGCCACCCAGAGTGGCTGGGGAAACCCAGCCAGATGGGCGGGGTATAAATAAATAATTATTATAAATTATTATTATTATTATTATGGAATGGAGCAGGTATAGCATTAGCACAGCCAGCAGGGTGCATATTCGGTCTGAGGAAGCAAACAGGAACTCCTTCTTATGTGTCTGTGTTGTCTGTTCATGCCAGCAGTGGTTTCTCCCATGTCCTAGATGGCAGAGGAGGAGAGAGGACCAGCTTGGAATTGGCCTTGATAGCTGATGTTTCCTTTAGAGTTGGAGGCTTACCTGCGGGAGCTGAATGGAACGAGATTCCGGCTACACAGGAGGCAGTGTTGTGGCTAGGGGTTGGACTGGTATGGGTTGATGAAATAACAGCCCACTAGGTTCCACCCTGGGGTCAGAGTCCTCACCTGCCTCATTCTCCCTGGTTCCTGAGATCAAGAAGCAGTTTTTCATCTATGTTTGAATAAAAATGGTTCAAGACAGCAGACTGCATCTATCAAAATTATACTAATTTTTAACCTCCCCCCCCTCAATTCACGATGGTGCCTGAGATCAAGCAGCAGATTTTCATGTACTTTTGGATAAACCTGGACAGTCTTTTGCATCAAGATGGTGGATTGTAACTTTCAGGACTGCATTGATTAACCACTGGTTTCAAAATTGCACTGACCCATTTGTTTCTTAGAATTCCTGAGCAATGCGGTCAAGGCTGCTAATACAATATATGTATATAGGGTTCTGCTTTAATAAATAAAATAAAAAATACTGTAAACCTTTTGGTTCAAAAATGTGGGATATCAATATTTTAACAGACAAATAGAATAATAAGTTGTGAGTGAAGTTGGGCATATTTTCAGTCTGAAAGGTGGGACTTGGGTTTGCAACCAGAAAGTATGGGCTGGTGAACAGCCCTGAGATATTTAATGAAGGGCAGTATATAAATCTTATATCTATATCTATATCTACACACACACACACACACACACACACACACACACACACACTTTGAGGAAGTGCTACAGTTTAGCAGGGATTTATACTGTTCTGTACCTCAGGCAAAATGCCATTTCTACATAGTGCTGCTTCTGCCGCAGTCCCACTGGCAGTAGAATGCAGAGAAGCTGAGACAGTCAGGACAGATCAGCTGAAGGAACTACAGGCCTCAGAACAGAATCTCTGAGAAGTGGATGAGGAAGGAGGGATTGAGTGACTGACCTGCCAAGTTGCTTTTCCATGTACTCTTATTGCAGCACCCTGTTGACATTTGATTTCAGTGTTGACCCGCCCTAAGCCAGAATCAAATCTCTGTGTGGTTCCTTTTCCTAGATATTGCAGGCTAGCACAGAATTTCCCCCACGCCTGAATAAATACTGAATTCACTTTTGAAATATAAACATAGAAAAAGATTCTAAGAAAGAAACAAGAACAAGGCAAGGCTAAGGGGAGGGACAGTAGAAAACAACTCTATAGAATAGGTTTGTATCTCTAAATGGGGGGGTGCTAAATGGGGGCAGACCTGACCATGTGGTGAGACCTGCATTGCCCCCGTCATACTATTTCACACACCAGATTGTGTGAAATGCTGTTGGCCTAGACACACCCTAGGAGAGCTTGCACAAGATCTGGATTTGGTTGTGTGAGAATTGCGAGTGTCTTGGCCAGTCAGCAGCCAAGAGGATGCTGGTGCAAGCAAGAGTTATCTCAGACAGCTCTGGCTCTACTATTTATAGCTGATCACAGAAGGTGACAAAATTAAACTTAAGTGCTAGCAGGTTTTGCATTTAAAGATCACACAAGTACTTTCTTGTGGGAAATGGTATTCGATGGTGAAATCCTACTTTCCGGTCAATAACATTCTCTTTGGATACATTTCTGGCAAAATTAATTTCTGTGCAAAGAAATGCTCTGCGGCCATTCTGAGAGATGCCAACTCTAGATTGAGACAGATTTGCATTGTACTATACCAATAAGGCAAAACGGCACAGGAAAAGTAAAGGATATGGTTTCAAATAGCTTTTATGAAGCATGTTACTACTTCCAGATGTTGTCATGTTTCCTTTTGAAACCGGTAGTGCCACTGTTTCCCCAAATCCAGAACAAACAGAAATAGCCATGTACAATTAGTTCTTCAAAACACATGTGATGTCAAGCACCACGTGCACTATAGTACAGTTACTGTGGAGTCATCAGCCCATTAAGATGCACAACCCAGAGAGGGGCAATTTCAAGTTAGTTGGGCAATAAGGCTTGTGTTGGTTAGATTGAAGATGTGGTGTTAAACCACTGTGCAGAAGCAGTGTAGAAGAAGAAGAAGAAGAGTTTGGATTTGATATCCCGCTTTATCACTACCCAAAGGAGTCTCAAAGCGGCTAATATTCTCCTTTCCCTTCCTCCCCCACAACAAACACTTTGTGAGGTGAGTGAGGCTGAGAGACTTTAGAGAAGTGTGACTAGCCCAAGGTCACCCAGCAGCTGCATGTGGAGGAGCGGGGAAGCGAACCCGGTTCACCAGATTACGAGTCCACCGCTCTTAGCCACTACACCACACTGGTGTAGCCCCTCCAAGGAGCCCAAAATGAACCACTGTACCATTTTTAGTCAACAGTTAGATCATTCACACTTGTGTGCTTTGAACATTCTGATTTTTGGAGAGGTTTGTAGATTTATGATATAGAAACATGATAAGATGCCATCAGGTTCCAGTTGCTTGGTATGCTTCTAACATGACAGAGGCTATGGACACATTGATGTAAATTGTGCCACATGGAGAAATTTGATGTTCTAAGCCGAAGGACCAAATTACCCATCTAAATAGTGGACTTTCAACTTCACACAATTAAGGGTTTTTGTGTCCTCTTCAACTATTACTGCTAGCAACACATTTCAAAGAGAAGAAAGACAGGACCCAAACCAAGGATGAGTGGGTCTTCCCCACTCCTTGCTCAGTGGTGAGAGCCAAGCAGCAGATACACTGAGTAACTTGTGGCATTGCTATTTGGGAAACAGCCAAGTGCAGCTCTGGGGGTGTTTTAGTCTCACGGGAAACCCACCACTAGGTAAGCCCCTAGAGGAGAGGGGGGAGATTGGTGAAGTTTTGTTTCGCAGTGCTGATGTGGGAGTAGTGGGCAGAGTATGCCTCAGCATTGATGGCTCCTGCCAAGGCACTTGGGCCCCAGCTGCTGCAGGGTTGCCAGGTGCTGATTGTGGCCCCAAAGAAAGGCTATGGAACTAGCCAAGGGCTGCCAACGTCTGGGATTCCCTGGACATATCTGGGATTTGTCCATCAGAAATGGCATCTGAGCGGAATTTCCAAAAGTCAATAAAAAAATATCTGGGGAAACCCATGTTGGAAGTGTTGCTTTTTTTGGCGAATTTCCTTAAAAATAGCTCAACAACTTTTGTGTCCGGATTTTCACTTTTTGAAATATGGCAACCCTAAACTAGCCTGGAGTTTGGGTAGTGGAGTAGGCAATTTGATTTGCCTTCATATACACAGTTGCTAATGCTTAAAGAAAGAAAAGCAATAAGTAGTGTTTATATGGGGTAATGGGGAGTAATTGCTATACCTTTGAGGCAGATGTTTCGATAACAGAAATTCTATGGTAGTTAGCTAAATGTTCATAAAAGTTGTATGTGTATTCTATAACAACCTGGCTGCTATGAACCAGTAAGGAGTACATATATGCCTGCTTTGCTGTGTATTGTCCTTTCCCTAATGATTTGTTACAAGGGATGTTTGAAATTTTGTAACAGCGTTTCACAGATAACAATCTCAGCAAAGTTTTATGAACGTCTGGAAACTCAGAGATGTGGTGAATAATGCCAACAGTCATCTGCATGTGATTACCTGCACTTACTTGTTTATGTTTTTGGAAAGCAGGGAGACAGATAATCTATTTTAAGGTGTTCGCAAAACTTTTTTGGGATTGTTAACATTTGTGTGTTAATGTTGGCAATCAGCAGGGGTTTTGTTGTTTCGTTTACACTCACTATAACATTTATAGAGAACATCTTGGAGCAAACACATTTTATTTTCAGTTAGTATCACATCCTTATCCTATAGATCCAGGGCAGATGATATCTGAAAGACTAAAAATAAACTTTGGCACTTCGGTGTTGAGATGCACATACAGAGAGATCTACTGCAAATACAGGCTGCTCCATTCATGTCAGTTGCCTTTTGCATATGCTAATACAGTCACTTTATTCAAGTGACCGGGAAAGCCATAAGAGAGTTCTATGTTATTGTTTTTTGTATTATATTCCACCTTATCCTTCCAGGAACTTAAGATGGCATGTATGGCTCTCCCCATCCTCATTCAACCCTCACAACAACCCTGTGAGGTGGGTTAGGCTGAGAGACAGTGACTGGCCCAAGGTCACCCAGTGAACTTCATGTCTGAGTGGGGATATGACCCCTGGTCTCCCAGGTCCTATTCTGAGACTCTAACCACTGTACCACCCTGGCATAGAAGGATCGAGGCAAAGCATAAAATTATACAAATCACAAGAAGCTGCTTTTCTCTTGATTTCAGTGGGTCTACTAACACTGGATTTCAACAATTGGCTTTTAAAAGTGCCCCCTCTAATGTATGTAATAAGAACATTAATTGTTCTAACTAATCTTCGAAGATTAGTTAGAACAATTAAGGTTTTAAAAAAGAAAAAAATCGGAAAGTGCTTAGCTATTGGTTCAGAAAAAATTGTGAGTGCTCACCACTTCTGAAAATGTGGAAGTCTCGCCGCTGTATACAAACATTGTTGTGCCCCGCATGGAAATATTTAAAGGTTTTACCAGAAGGGGGGAGCTTTGAAGGTTTCAGTTTGAAGAGGAAATCAGATCCGCAGAAAATTAACACTTCAGAATTGATTTATGAAATGCCAAAGAATTAGAGTTAATCTCAAATTTGTGCAGCGCCGTCTCTGGCATGTACTGGAATAGTATAGTGGCTACAAGGCAGATGCCATAAGTTTCCAATAAAAAAAATCATTTGGATTTATTACAGGCTAACAGCTCTCTGACAAGCTTTCACCTTATGAAAGGGAGAGGGCAAGAGAGAGATTAAGAGAGCGAGAGGGGGAAAGCGAGACGGACTGAGGGAGAGGAGCAGAGGGCTCTCAATGACCTAATTCTAAGTTAGCTGTTCAGTTGCAAGAGTATTGACTACAACGTAGACCCTTGTGGGAAGCAGCAAAGGGGAAGCCGTGACAAGGGCAGAGAACGCAGGGAGTATCCTCACGGACAGGTGAGTCACAAATTCCTGAAGCTCAGGAGCATCTCGTGTTAGATTGTACTTGCATGACAAAGGCGTCCTTTAGCCGATACTCTTCATTTGACAGCTGGGTAGGCAGCCTGTGTGATACTTCTCGAAGGACTAGAAAGGGGAAATGCATGAGTTCCAAAATAGCCTCTTTAAAGCTACCAAAACCACCACATGGTTATGAAGTGTTATGGGGTGACAGAGGTGTGCAGAGAGGGATGAGGGAGCTCCCTTCTGGCTGGTTTCTTGGTATAATTTTTAATGTATTAGAAGCATTTAGGGCAGCTCTATGGGTTCACCTGGGGTTCCCCCCCCCCTCAGGACTGCTAATTAAAGAGCAGTTTATCTGAGAAAGTACAAACCAAGGCGTGGATTCTAATCGGCTGTATTCTTCTGATATGCAATTGTTCTTATCAGATATTGGCTCTTCATAGCTGAGGCTATAAAACTGGCCAATGCAGCTACTTGAATTAAATTGAAAATAACATTTGGTCAGACATCGTAGCATACCCAACATTAACCCAAAATGCAAGATAAATTATAGGAGATATTCTCTATTTATATGGAATTCTAGAATATGGGTGGAATTCAACACTCGGCCTACTCAGAGTAGACCCATTGAAATTAATGAACATGAGTAACTTAGGTCTATTAATTCCAACAGGCATACTCTGAGTAATGTTTAGTTGACTTCTACCCATTATTTCAAGTGCAGAAGGCTAACAAGTTAAGGACAAGAAGCTGTAAACTGGAGATTTCTCTCCTTCAAAAAAATAAAATAAATGAACCAGACTGCGAACATGGCGATAATCTTGCATGCAATTATGTGCCTTTAAATTCCATTGAACTGAAGCACATAAAAACAGAGTACGCTTACAACTTTCTCAATAGTATTGATAAGACCACCACTACCCTCAGATTCCAGGGAATATGAAAAATATTAGTCTTCAAACCCGAATATTTTCTGCTATATTTACATTTTTTAAAACAATGTGATTATTTGATTAACCCCTTATGTGCCAGACGGCACCACACACGAAACTTTTGGAACACCCGCTGTTAATTTTAGCCGGAGCGAGAAACCATCTGATGAGACGCGCCAGCCATATAAGGCTATATGGAGCTGTAGCGCAGAGCATACTTTCTGCGCCTGTTAATATTCAGGCACAGAAAAGCATTTTGGCACATTCTAGCAAAGGAAGATAGGATGATGCGTCTAGCAGGCCTTCTGACTTCCTGCCTAGGTAGCAGGGCCAAACAGCACTTCTACCTCTGTTGTTTTCTCCGGAACAGGAGTGCCGGGAGACTGGAAGCTATAAGAGCAGGACGGTCAGGGAAGAAGTGTGAGTGTCAGATTTAAAAGCAAGCAATGCCTCATCTAAATCAGACGTCAAGTTGACAAACAGCACTGGACAGTCATTTAAATCAGTTTTAAGTGAGGGAATAGCAAAGATTCTGTACGTCAGGGGGAAGGAAGGGTCTAATTTATAGCTTGGAGGCTGCATGTTGACGCATTCTACATTTGTGAGGTTAGATTTTAATCCTTACCTCCCGCTGACCGGCACACAGGCACACTTATATACCACTTAAGTGTGCAAAGACATCAGAATGACAGCCATTGCTTGCTGGAGGAAAGGTCTCGCCGTGTAAGAGGCATGCTACAGTTTTAGAACTCTTCAGATATGCAGCCCATGTCTGACATAGAAGCTGCAAGTTGGCCACCTGTTTGTTTATTCAGAAGCGCTTCTGAAAGCCTGCGAACTGCAGTTTCAAATGCATTTAAACTGTTATTTAGAAGACCCAACATGGACCATCTAAATATGAAGGTCTAATTTAAAGCTATTACATTTGACAGATGTCCACCTGTGAACTTGTTCTCTTTGTGCAAACAATGTACAGAATGAATGCCGGTTTGTTATTCACAGCTCATTTTGGCCAATGGGTTTGGGGTCAGACCTATGAGGACATTTCATCTCAAAAGCTTATGCTTTAGAGAGTTATACATTAATTGGTAGCTTCCTTTACCACCAAACTGGAAGTGGCTGGGGGTGGGGAAGCCTACCAAGTATTCTTACTTCAGTCAAAATGTGGCCACAAATTAGGTCAGGGCTTTCTGCTGCTGCCAGGAGTTGATTAACATGTACATTTCGGCAGTAGTAAAACCTGTGCAACAGGGCTGCACCATACGGTTTTCTTAACCGAATGATTCCTGTAAGAAAACTGAAAACATGCCCTGTCAGAAGAAAAGCTAGCTGTCCTCATATAAACAGCTCCCCGTATAAAAATTAAAGGGAGCATGGGAACACAGGAAGCTGCCTAACACTGAGTCAGACCGTTGGTCTATTTGGCTCAGAGCTGTTTACACTGAGTGGCTGTGATTCTCCTGGGTTTCAGGCAGGGGCCCTTCCCAGGCTTTCCTTGAGAAACCCAGCACTGAACCTGGGACCTTCTTCATGCAAAGCAGAAGCTCTACCACTGAGCTACGTCCTTCTCGCCGACTCCAGAACTAAAAGCACTGTAGCATCGTGTTACCGTATTTTTTTGCTCTATAAGACTCACTTTTTCCCTCCTAAAAAGTAAGGGGAAATGTGTGTGCGTCTTATGGAGCGAATGCAGGCTGCGCAGCTATCCCAGAAGCCAGAACAGCAAGAGGGATCGCTGCTTTCACTGCACAGCGATCCCTCTTGTTGTTCTGGCTTCTGAGATTCAGAATATTTTTTTTCTTGTTTTCCTCCTCCAAAAATTAGGTGCGTCTTATGGTCTGGTGCGTCTTATAGAGCGAAAAATACGGTAATTCATTGCTTATATTAATAAACTAAAAACTTTTGATCCGTTATATGTTACACCTATGTAGGTGTCAGGAATCAGATGTAATTGCTCAATTAAAAACTAGTATACAGTGGTACCTCGGGTTACATACGCTTCAGGTTACAGACGCTTCAGGTTACAGACTCCGTTAACCCAGAAATATTACCTCAGGTTAAGAACTTTGCTTCAGGATGAGAACAGAAATCGTGCTCCGGCAGCGCGGCAGCAGCGGGAGGCCCCATTAGCTAAAGTGGTGCTTCGGGTTAAGAACAGTTTCAGGTTAAGAACGGACCTCCGGAACGAATTAAGTACTTAACCTGAGGTACCACTGTAATTAATTGACTATGGCTATAGCCCTATGCATGCATGCTTGGGAATAGGGCATGCTGAAGAAAATGGGGCTCGCTTTCAAGTAAGTGTGCATTGGAATGTGTTACAGGATGTCTGTAATCATATGGTGGCCATAGTGTGACTTAAAGGGCAGGATATAACAATCCTTCTTGGATAATCACTACTCATGCTACTTGTAAAAGACAAATGTGCATTTTTCAGTGACATCTCTTAAAGTACATGAACTGGTACGATGCTGGTAGGCTATCACATAAATCTGTTTCATAGGAAGATATGCAACCTACAGATCTATTTTAGGTGTTTTCTGTCTAAGAGGTGGGGAATAATAATTAATCTATAGGCCTTCAGTTATTGTTTTGTTGCAACTCTGACCACTCATCATCCTCACAGGAATTGATGGGAATCCAGCAACTTTTGGAGGTCCACAAGTTCTGCAACCTTGGTCTATCTGAAATCCACACAGTGCCATGCACAGAAAACCATGAATCTTAAGGAACAATGCATGAGACAACACTTCTGTGTTTTAAAAGTAACTTGAGTAATAGTCATCAAACTGTACAGCCAAAGACCTTCACTAAAATTGAAGGATTTATATTTATCAATCCCTTAGGGTTGATTCTCAGAAAAACTCACAGTTCAGAAACTGTTGCGACAAAGGTAATTACATCCAAGCCAATGGCACATACATGCAGAATTTTGAGTTCATCCACCAAGTCAATATATATAGAACTCTGAGGGTCTTGCTGGCTCCCAGACATAACTGCATCTGTTCACAGCACTAATGATTGCAAGTCATAGTGAGCTGCCACTCCCACCCCCAAAGAGAAACAGAGGGTGGTCATGGGAATCCATTTTAAGTGGCAATGTACTCTCAGGAAAATACCCATCTGCCCCTAAAAATGTGTAATATAAATCCTGTGCTTGTTCAAATGATGTGTGTATTGCTGCAGTAAAAATGTAATGTATAGAATTCGCCAGAAGACTTTGTAAAGCTGGTTATGGTTTCAGAACCCTTTTAAGTCCCATTGATGGCCTCGTGAATGTTTTTAATGATCCTTTTTCCGTTCTGAATAGATTATGCTGAAATGTTCCAAGCTGTCATTTCCCACTAGAGCTCTATCGGGCATGGAGTTTGGTCATATCTGACACTTTTGCCAAAGCACGTGCCTATGAGGCAGTTGACTGAAAAAAGTTTAGACTTTGACCCTGAATTTATATTCTTCAGACTAAGAGGGGACAAAGACCCTTTGAGATGCATCATTAATATAATATAATAATATTATAATAATATAATATAATATAATATAATATAATATAATATAAATCAGTTTCTAAACAACCATCTCAAGACAATTTACATGTAAGATAATTAAAAAACATTAAAAATACAAAAACAGCAAGTACCTTTTTTAAAAAAGACTAAAACCCTAATGCAGTAGACACTTAATGTAAATACCTATTTATCCAGCTAGGAAAGCCTATTGGAACAAAAATGACTCCAGATGTTTCCATAAGTTGCAGATAGTTGTTGCCTGTTGCATCTTAGCAGGAATGCTATTCCACAGAACAGGGGAAGCCACACTAAAAGCCTTCTCTGTGTTATAGTGGAGAGGGCTTCTGAGGCCTTTGAAACATGTAGGAGAAACTCTTCTACAAACCGCAGCAATTTAGGGGGTGTATAAGAAATAACAGTAGCCTGAGTTGCTTCAGGCCAGCGGTACTTGAACAACCTGGGAAGATTCCTACCCATTTCTTGCCACAGAGATGTTTTGAGCACACAATGAAGGACTGTGTTTATTACTCTCAAAGTCTGTGAGTCAGAGAAAATGGAGGATGCGGAGAAGCTTACCTCCTCACCAAGAGCGCAGTTAAATTTAATCCTGAGATGATGGAGGACGATAGGACCGCTCTTTGCGGCAGTTGTTCCCCCCGATCCTTTTACACTGACTCTGGCAGAGTACGTTTGGTCACATGAAAGAAACGCGCTGAAATCCATGACCGCTGCTAAATGTGTACAACACCATCCAGATATTCCATTGCTTTTCGGGTTTCAGTGGCGCACGAGCTAATGGCACTTGGTTGGGAGGAGCAAGACAGACAAGCAGTGAAATGGAAGAAGGTCAGTCTCTCAGAGAGTTTGGCTTCCTCACAGATGGTTTTAATTTATCAGACCATTTGTAGGAGATGCTAGTTCCATTTTGTGTCTCAGGGCTGAAATGGGATGGACCTGTTTTCTGGTGCCTAATGTGAATCACTGTAAAAAGAAAAGAAAAATTTAAGCGTTCCCAACTGGTTGCGACTTTCACGACAGTAACGCTACCAATGCCATGGGCAACAATATCCCCCTCCCAACTTCGTGAAAATGGGCAGGGCTAAGCCTTGCTGCCCAATGATAGTATTGTTAGAGTGGGAAGGGTTTTGTTTTGTTTTTTTGAAAAATTGGTTTTATTGCAACTTTTCATTATTGTATTTTCTGTATGGCTCAATTTTACATACACCACTCAGCTAAGGATCAAATGGCACATAAATGTCCTTAAAAACAAACAAACAAACAAAGCAAACAAATAACTCTAGGAGTGATGTACCCCATCGTTGTCAGTGGCTGAGTGTGTGTGGCTTCTGCCGAGGCAAAAATACAGGAAAAGTAAGCAAGAATAATAATAAAAAACCCCGTAGTTACACTATGGGAATGGGAAATTTTAAAAGACATGATAAGGGACTTGTCACATCATGCGTGACATGTTATGGCATCATGAACTAAGTGCAGCAATGCTGCTTGCTGGGGATAATAATAATTGTTTTCCAGGAACTTCTGTCAAGGGTTTCACGACTGTTTAACAGTGTTTAATGTCACATGTGTGACTTAAATCAGGGAAACCGTGACAGAATTAACCCATCCTCCTCTAGCGCCACTACTCTGATAAAAATCGGAGCTCTCTGCCCTCTCCTCCATAGCTGCTTAAAGTAAAAATGAAATCACTGGGAGAAGTGTGGTCAGATTTCCTGCATCAGACATAACTTGGCTCTTGCTTAGGAGTACACAAGTTCTGCTGCTTGTGTAAACCAGTCGTGGTTTCAATAGGATATTTGTATGTCACTGAGAGGCAGTATAATATTCTGCTTGTAAAGAAAGATCCAAACAACATTGTCGTTAGGCTGCCTATGTTCCTACGGCCAAGGGAATTGCCAGAAGAGTATATTTCATTGTTTTCCCCCCAAAGGGTTATCTGATTTATTAAATTTATATTTATTTGTTGAATACAGTATATACAAAATGGCCATAGGATTAGCATCTGGAACACAATACTCAAGAATTTATGGTAGAGCATTAGTAAGGATGTCTAGTCTAGCTTTTCACATGGACCAGCTGAGCTCCATTAATTCAGGTGGACTGACTATTGATTTAAACAGTCTGGTCCTGAAAGATCAGAAAACTGAGAGATTTCCCCTTTGACAACTATTCCAATAGGCTTCTTGTTAATTCCTGTTCTCCGTACCCCCTACCTCTTTTTATAAACAAGGGGATGTAACCGGACTCTGGTCTTCTACAAATGTTTATGCCACAATAAATTTGTTAGTATTTAAGGCACCATAAGAATCTTCATTGTTTTTGGACCTAGAGGAAGGCTTACTGGCTGATGCATAGAAAAAGAATATTATACAGTATCTGAATTTTAGCACCATGCGCACACACCCCAAACACACATTTTGTTGTTTAACATATTAAAGCTATTTGGTAGTCAAAATTGGAAGGTATGGTGAGCTCATAGTCCCAGACAATTATTCCGTCTCTGCATTCTCAAATATGTATACAAATCAGGCAAATGTAAGAACAAAAAGTATGAGGCTGAGATGATATGATGTGATGATAGTAATTAGCTTTCTTGATATCAGGTGTTGTGTCTATTAGGCTTTTATTTGAGTCAGGAACCAAAGATTACCTGTTTTGATAACCCTGCTCTGTTTGTTTTTATGTGATTTTAGACTGAGTCTTGCCGTTGCACATTTCTCCTAATATACCTATTTTTGCATACAATTTTGCCTGATACTGTACCGCATTTTTGCAAAGCAAATTCCCATAATAGAAAACATTTTTGCATGTTTACTGATTTCTACTATTTTTATTCACACTTTCCCCTAATACACCCCCTCCCCCATTATTTGGTTGAAGAACTGCATCACAAAATTTGGGGAAGTGCGAATTTCAAAGGTTAGCCTCATTTTGGCTTGCATATTGTTTCGGGAAGTGCGAGTTAGGTCAGCTCACACTTAAGAGAAAAGCAAACCGAACCAAATGTAGTTATGTGGTCCTTCGCTAGACCATTCAGCATCTATTCGTGGATTCAGGTCACCACAGATAATCAGTAAACCAAAGGAAGCAGAAAAGCTGGACCCAGGATTCTTCTGATAACAATGAAAACTCAGATCTGTGTTGCATGTGAGCCTGGATTACTAATGCTCATCACTTCATAGTTCTTAGTGGCAGTTGTGAGGCACAATATTTTCTAATACTATTATGGCTATGGATCTGTGTGAGGATCAGCTCAGATCTGCATGCGGAGCTCACATTCATGCAAGCAGATCATGGAAATGACAAGTTTTAAGGCATGGGTAGGCAAACTAAGGCCCAGGGGCCGGATGCGGCCCAATCGCCTTCTCAATCCGGCCCATGGACAGACTGGGAATCAGCATGTTTTTATATGAGCAGAATGTGTCCTTTTATTTAAAATGCATCTCTGGGTTATTTGTGGGGCCTGCCTGGTGTTTTTACATGTGTAAAATGTGTGCTTTTATTTAAAATGCATCTCTGGGTTATTTGTGGGGCATTTGTGGCCCCCCCCAAAAAAGTCTGAGGGACAGTGGACCGGCCCCCTGCTGAAAAAGTTTGCTGACCCCTGTTTTAAGGGTTGCCAAATAGTAAATCCTCTCTGGGTGAAGGATAAAGAGCAAGTCTAAAGTGAGAGACTAGGGTGATGCCTGCTGTTTCTCTTCTCGTTGTGAGACTTTTGTGGATGAGAGTTTGTTTAGACCCTGGGTGAGAACCCAGAGGCTGAGAAGGAGGGTTTGTCAGAAGGAAAATGAATTGATATTGATTTATAGATATTAGTAACTTTGCATTAATGTAACATTTTGTATGTGACTATTTTATAACACATGTTATAAAATACAAAGTATCATTAAGAACAAATCATACATGAGCTAGTTATAGTCAGCTTTTACTATAGCAATAAAGATTTGCTCTTTCAAACCAAGCCTCATATTTGGCTAAGCTATCCAGGCTGTGAGAAAGCTGTAGATATTCGTGTTCATATGGCGACAGCAAAATATCAGTGTTTAGGAGGTATTGGAATCCCAGAGCTGTATTTCCTATATGGCAAATGGAAACTGGGTGTGAGAGAGAAAGAGAACGTTTAACAAGCAAAAGGGGATTTGTGATTTGAATTAAAGTATCTTCTTGCTCCTAAGTGGTGGGCTTGGGCAGGTGAGGGTACAACAAAGTCCTCTTGTGAACCAGGATTTGTTTAAGTAGCAGGAAACAGAGAATAGGAAGAAATTGATGGTTCTCCAAATGGAAGGATGTAGAAAGTGGAATCACCCAAAGACTGGTATTGGGAACTGTGCTTTTTTAACTCGAAAAGTAATGCTCTAGAGTTAGGAGTGAGCAGTGAGGTGACCAATTTTGCTGATTATACTAACGAAAAGAGATTGTGAAGAGCTCTAAAAGGACCTATCCAAACTGAGTGAATGGGTGGTAAAATGCCAAATGCAATTTAGTGTAAACAAGTGCAAAGTAATGCATAGTGGGGAGGGGGGGTAGAATCTTAATTTCACCTATACTAAATAATCTCTCCTCCTCATCCATTAGCAGAGGTGTCCGCTGTATGAAAAGTCCTTCCACAAATAGAATTCAACCCAAATGGCTCACTTAAAAGCAGTAGATTCTAGATAAAGTTTAATAATAATAATAATAATAACAACTATTCACAACTACACACACCCCTGAAAAACAAAATGATGGTGAGTTTCATAATGCAGGGGGAAGGAGTTTTTATCTACTAATTGCTACAAATTCACAAATTATTTCCACTCATTAATGAGTAATTCCAATTTCCTTAAAAAAAATACTGGTTGTTATTTCCTGTTGGCACACTCACACCAAATGATTTAGCTTTGTAATTTTATTCGCTTTTTTTTTTTTTTTGCAACAACCTTGAGCGTTTATGTATTTGGTGAATCTTCCATATTGTTACCAAGACCACGAAGGTCATGAAAGGCACCCCACTCCTCTACTGTTAGCTCCCACAACCTCTGAGATTGGAGGGTCCATTTAACTCTCTGGGCTAATACCTTGTGAAAGACTTGTTGAAATAGTCATCATCAAATCCAGGATTCTATCTTTCAGTAAGTCGTTCTACCAGCTAATAGAGAGATAAGGACAGATAAGGACAAGGAATAGGACATAGCAGGAATATCATCTGCTCTGTTTGGCCAATTGGTTCATGTTATCTTGGCAGGTGTTGGCACTGACCAGTTTAGATGGAACTACAGAAATATACAGGCAGCTATCTTTGTCTATCATATTATTCAATAGGCATAGTCATATGGGTCTAAAATGCATGTGTAACCCTGTGAACATATTCCTTGGTGTTAGACAAAATGGAAATCATAGAAAGTACTTCAGGAATGGGGAGATAGTGGCCCTCCAGTGTGGTGTAGTGGTTAAGAGCGGTAGCCTTGTAATCTGGGGATCCAGGTTCGCGTCTCCGCTCCTCCACATGCAGCTGCTGGGTGACCTTGGGCCAGTCACACTTCCTTGAAGTCTCTCAGCCCCACTCACCTCACAGAGTGTTTGTTGTGGGGGAGGAAGGGAAAGGAGAATGTTAGCTGCTTTGAGACTCCTTAAAGGGAGTGAAAGGCGGGATATCAAATCCAAACTCCTCCTCTTCTTCTTCTTCTTCTTCTTCTTCTTCTTCTTCTTCTTCTTCCTCCTCCTCCTATGGTCAGGGATGTTGGGCGTTGCAGTCCAGCACGTCTGCAGGAGACATAGGTTCCCCATCCCTGACTTAGGGCCCATTCACACCATACATTTAAAGCAGTATCATAGCTTCCCCAAAGAATCCTGGAAACTCTAATTTGTTAAGCATCCTCAGAGTTGTTAGGAGAGCTTTATTCCCCTCACAGAGCAATAATTTCCAGAGTGGTTTAACAATCAATCCCTCTTCCTACTGAACTCGGGAAACCCTAGTTCTGCAGGGGGAATGTGGTCTCCTAACACCTCTCAAAATACCCTTATACCAAGCTTTACTTTCCAAGATTCTTTGGGGAAGCCATGAGTGTTTGTAGCACAAATGGGGCATTGGTTCTTCTGACTAAAAATAAAACTGGGCTTCATTTCAAGTTGCTGATTTTAAATTTTATTAATTTATTTATTTGTTACAAAGAAAGAAGAAAAGAAAACATAACACTGCAGACAAACTTATATACATATTTTCCACAATAAAAGCCAGAAAAGAAAGGAAAAAAAGAAGATAAGAGAGAAAAAGGGAAGAGAGAGGAATATAAAAGGGGGGAAAAAGAAGGAAGAAGAAGAAAAGAAAGAAAGAAAAAAGTTATTTTTCATAACAAAAGATTTTACCAAATTCATACTTCAAACACTTCAATATATGGATCTTATTTAAAATATTAATAAAAGATTTCCACCGCATTCACCACACATCCCTTAATTATCATGATCGAAATTACATCTGTCATTCAATAATTTTCCTTCCTTAAGTTCTTTCAAATTTCAAATCAAATCTTTAGGTTCTCTGTACTCTTCACCAGGTTAATCTAAACACAACCAAACATTTGCACCATTTACATAGATAATCATTTAGACATTCCCATTGTTTTTGGATTATAATCTTTTGTTTTTGCCTTATTAAATCAGTCAGTTTTGCTAACTCCGTGTACTCACATAGTTTACTCAACCATTCCCCCTTTGTTGGGATATGATTTCCTTTCCAATGACTGACTACTAACATTCTCACTGCCGTTGTTGCATACAGAAAGATGTTGATTTTGTCTCTGGGGATATCATTATTCAAAATTCCTAATATATATGCTTCTGCCCTTTTAATATATGATATTTTTGTCAATTTTTTAATCTCTTCATGAATCATGTCCCAGAATTTTTTAATCTCTGGGCATGTCCACCACATATGATATAGGGTACCAATCATTCTATTACATCTCCAGCATTTATTGCCAATCTGTCTGGTGCCAGGTACTACCTGTGATGCATCTTCATATAGTTCTCTCTTAATGAGTAGCAGGCCATGAAATTTATATTTTTTGTCCAACCGCCCCCCCCCCCGCCAATCTTTATATTCAATTGTATAGCCTAAATCTCGTTCCCACTTTTGCATATTCTTTTCTTTGGTTTCTTGATCTGGATGAACGTTGTCTAACCTATACATTTTGGCGAGTATTTTTTGGTTATTCTGTAAATTCCCAAATCCTCTGGTCTTTATATCTTTCTCATATGTAGCCTTAAATTGGAAATATTCCAGCCAATTTATTCTCAGTTTTTTAAGTTCTCCATATTCCTTTAATTTGGTTTCATTCGTTCCTTCTACCAGATCTTTATAAGTTGGCCAAGCATTTTTTGTATTATTTTTTAATGTTGAGGTTTCCTCTATTGGAGAGGTCCACCATGGGGTTCTTTCTATAATTCTCTCTTTTGTTCTCTCCCATACCTCGAATAGGGCCTTTCTCACTAAAGGATTCGTGAATCCTTTATGCATTTGTATTTTCCTGTAGATTAAATAGCCATGCCAACCATACATTTTATCCCAGCCCTCTAGTTCCAAGATTTCAGTATTTTTTAATAGCATCCACTCTTTCAACCAGCTCCAGCACACAGCTTCAAAGTATCTTCTTAAATCTGGAACTGGAAATCCTCCAAATTCTTTTGGTCCCGTCATTGATTTTATTCTGTCTTTTTTCCCCTTGCCTCAAGTTGCTGATTTTATGATGCTGGTCAGTTGGGGTACATGAAACATTTCCAGCAATGTGTCTTTCTAATAATCAATTAGTGTAACATAAAGAAGGACAAAGCACACTTGTTCTTTCAGTGACTTTCATTTGATTTCTTCCCCCTTAACTCCATTATCATTGAATTTCATGGGAATTAAATCTGGGCTGGATCTAGACACATCAAAGAAACATTTCAGTTAAATGTGTTGTGAACTTTGTATGAGAAATCGGGTTGGCAAAAAACAGAACTCCACAGTGCCATCTGGTGTCACAGTGTTATAATGCATAAACAATGCATATAAACAGCTTTTTCTTTGACAATGTAGCAATGTAGCTAAGTCCCAAGTTTACAGTTGAAATGACATTAGAGAATCAAGGTTTTTTTTTGCAAGATCTGCTCTCTGAAACCCATTTACAGAGAGGTATATGGTGTGACCAAAGCAGTTATTTCAAACTAGCAAGATGCCCATCCAGTGACGGATGGCATCTAAAGAACCCTGTGGAGGTATAGTGGATTTTGGCTTAGAGAGTCTGAGAGTACACCCTATGGCTTCAATGTCCAATAAGGGCTGGGCCACCTGGAATAAAGAGGAATGCAGTCAGATACACTGTTAGGAGAGATGCTATACTTGCTGCTTGCTGCTAGTGATCTTAGCAATTAAGAAGCAGTCATACTGATGACTGAATGGAGTAACTGTGCCCCTGAAGGACCAGGTGTGCAGCCTAGGAGTCATTTTGGACTCTCAGCTGTCCATGAAGGCGCAGGTCAATTCTGTGTCCAGGGCAGCTGCTTATCAGCTCCATCTGGTACACAGGCTGAGACCCTATCCGCAGACTGTCTCATCAGAGTGGTGCATGCTCTAGTTATCTCCTGCTTGGACTACTGCAATGCGCTCTATGTGGGGCTACCTTTGAAGGTGACCTGGAAACTGCAATTAATCCAGAATGCGGCAGCTAGACTGGTGACTGGGAGTGGCCGCCGGGACCACATAACACCAGTCTCGAAAAACCTACATTGGCTCCCAGTATGTTTCCGGGCACAATTCAAAGTGTTGGTGCTGACCTTTAAAGCTCTAAACGGCCTTGGCCCAGTATACCTGAAGGAGCGTCTCCATCCCCATCATTCTGCCCGGACACTGAGGTCCAGTGCCCTTACTGTGAAAAGCAAAGTTACAGGGAACCAGGCAGAGGGCCTTCTCAGTAGTGGCACCCACCCTGTGAAACGCCCTCCCACCAGATGTCAAAGAGAATAACAACTACCAGACTTTTAGAAGGCATCTGAAGGCAGCCCTGTTTAGAGAAGCTTTTAATGTTTTACGGACTATTGTATTTTAATATTTTGTTGGAAGTTGCCCAGAGTGGCTGGGGAAACCCAGTCAGATGGGAGGGGTATAAATAATAAATTATTATTATTATTATTATTATTATTACTACTACTACTACTACTGGTCCCGCAATAAGTGGCATTTTGGGTACACTTTTCCATAGAGAGTCAGCAAGATACTCTCTTTCTTAGGGTATGCAAGTTATTGCTTAGAAGTCCCTCAATTTCTGATTGAGTACATTACTTTCTAAAAACTTTTTGAAAAAGTGGCGTGATGACTTTGGAATGTCAGCAGATTGGTGAAATATAAATATTTTGATGATTTCCTCTGAAATGTCAGCATCTGTCTCTCTTTTTTCTCAGATAGAAATTTGTAAATCTATTTCTGTGATCCTTAATTTGTAAGGCAAACTATGTGAACAACATCGGAAGGGTACGCAAACATGTGCCATGCACCCTCATTTTGAGATGGTGTTGGCACAACAAACAACTTTCCGTCGTTTTCTGATTCTGAACGATCTCTCTAGCACCACCTAGTGCTTTTATTTCCAAGCAGCGATAAGCATTTCTTCAGTTAATAATCTGCCTGGAACAGCAGGCAGCCAAAGCCAAACATTCAAAGAGCCTATTCCTTTGTTCCTGGTTTATTTTACTGTGTTTCATCCAAAGGAGTAAAATGATCCTCATTTGTCCATTTGGGAGCTATATGAGTTTCTCTGAGACCAGCCTACTAGTCTCAAATAGCACAGTACTAATTTCTCCTGTGGTTCCTACGGCCCCAGCAATTATTCTCCATCTAGGGAGAAACAAAATTGGATCTAAAAACTATCATAGAGGAGAATTTGTGTGTGTGTGAAATTCTCATGCGTGGGGTGCAGAGGTTTTGAGGCACTAGACCCATGTTATCACAAGTGCCCTTTTATTATATGAATGCTCTGCATTCTGCAGCCTTCCTGGGTGCACACACTTCGAGAACAACATCATATAAATAATAAAATTATTGCTGTTATTGTTATTGCTAGTGTGTCCCCCAGCCATGTATACTAATAGGTGATTGCCATTTATCTGCAGGAGGAATTCATCAGGTTTTCCTGCTGAGCTCCAGTTGCTGCCAGAAGAGGAATGGCAGGCCGGAGGGGAGGTGAGAGAGGCAAGCAACATGGCAGACCAGAGCCTCGACTACACAGACATTCTAGAACATAGCTGTCAACGTTTCCCTTTTTTAAAGGGAAATTCCCTTATTCCGAATAGGATTCCTCACAAGAAAAGGGAGAAGTTGACAGCTATGTTCTAGAATGGGAGTAATGTTTGTAATTTACGATACCCAAAATTACTTCCAAGGGATCTCTTTTTGGCCTTGGAATGGAAGATACAAAGTGTGTTTCCAGAATGCGACTTAATTTGCAAATGGGTCACAGGCAGCATTTTTTTTCTTTTCTTAATGGATTTCTCCTCAAAAGAATAAATCTGGATTAAAGGGTGAGAAGATGATGGGTTGGCATGTTGAAGCCAACAATATTGTGTAAACAGTGCAGCAACAATCAACAGCAACATCTTGCATGGAAGAGGAGCAGCAGTCTCATAATAAACAGGCATCTGGAAACACCTAAAGTTGGCTAGATTTTTATTTCTCTCAGGTGCTCAGTAAATGTTTTCTCAAAAAGGGTTCAGAACAAAAAACCCACATTTTTTGGTGGGGGGACATTTACAGTCTAATTATATTTCAAGCTTGCTGCCTTGTGGTAATTAGCATAATGGGATTTGAGCTATTAGAGAAGTTTCAGTTAATAAATGTCCTCTTGCCCCACCTCCAGTCAATATTTATTACTTTGCAGTTAAAACTCAGAAGAGATCGGCCGTCCCTGGAGTGACCATCACACAGTTTGTGGAGGACATTCCAAAAGGGTGCAGCACACCTGACTTTGAGCGGAAGCCAATTACCTTAACATTACAGGAAGGTGAGGCATCGCCTAAGAACTGATTATTACAATTCTTGAATAGCTGAGCAAATTCCTCCTCTTTCAGAGGAAGAGAGGAGAACTAGCCCCGTTGTATATCGGGGGGGGGGCTGTGTGGAGAGAGTCTCTTCCTTTAAATTCCTGGGATTTTTATGTGAGCAAATGCAAATGAAAGTACAATGCAAGCAAACTAAACAGTTTGTTGTTGTTTAGTCATTTAGTCCTGTCCAACTCTTCGTGACGCCATGGACCAGAGCACACCAGGCACTCCTGTCTTCCACTGCCTCCCGCAGTTTGGTCAAACTCATGCTGGTAGCTTCGAGAACACTGTCCAACCATCTCGTCCTCTGTCGTCCCCTTCTCCTTGTGCCCTCAATCTTTCCCAACATCAGGGTCTTCCCCAGGGAGTCTTCTCTTCTCATGAGGTGGCCAAAGTATTGGAGCCTCAGCTTAATTACCAACTATTTTTGGCGTTTCTAAGGCATCTGCTGGAACACTTTATTTCTTATTAGGAGGGAACTAGAAAACACATGGCAAATATTTCAAAGGGGAATTCCTTTACATCATCCGTTTTTATTGTGGATTTCCGCTTCCAACTGAAACATTTCCCTTCTTTTTTCCTCCAAGGTAAAAATGCCATTTTCAGAGCTGTGGTCAAGGGTGAACCAAAACCAGAGGTGTTCTGGAAACGCAATAATGAGGCAGTGGATGATCCTCAGAAATACCAGATATCATTCAGTCCGGCCACAAATGAGTTTATCCTGCAGGTGAGGATTAACTGCTATCTAATGGCTATGTACACACTATACATTTAGACTGCATCAACAGAAGTATAGTGTCCAGGTCAAGGGAAGTAATAGTCCCACTCTATTCTGCCTTGGTGAGACCTCACCTGGAATACTGTGTCCAATTCTGGGCACCACAATTTAAGAAGGATGCTGACAAGCTGGAACGTGTGCAGAGAAGGGTGACCAAGAGCCACAAGAGTCTGGAAACCAAGCCTTATAAGGAACAGCTGAGGAAGTTGGGTATGTTTAGAGGAGACTGAGAGGAGATATGATAGCCATCTTCCAATAACTTAAGGGCTGTCACATGAAAGAGGGAGCAAGCTTGTTTTCTCCTGTTCTGGAGGGTAGGACTCAAACCAATGGCTTCGAATTGCAAGAAAAATCAGGAAGAACTTTCTGACAGTAAGAGCTGTTTGACAGTGGAATGGACTCCCATGAGAGGTAGTGGGCTCTCCTTCTTTGGAGGTTTTTAAGCAGAGGTTGGATGGCTGTCTCTCATGGATGCTTTAGTTGAGATTCCTGCATTGCAGGGGGTTGGACTAGATGACCCTTTGGCCCCATTCCAACTCTATGATTCTATGATTTAAATGATTTAAATCAAAGAATTCTGGGAACTGCAGTTTGTTGAGCATGCTGGGAATTTTAGCTCTGCGATGGGTAAACTGAAGTTCCCAGGATGCTTTGGTGGAGGGGGGGGAGTCGTGTGCTTTAATGTATGGTATATACATAGCTTCCTGTGAATATACTGTTTAAACTTTAACGCAGTAAAATGTCAAGGACTGGTGAATCTTCTCCCTAAAAAATGGAGCATCTTAGAAGAAGAAGAAGAGCCTGCTGGATCAAACCAATAGCCCACCTCATCCAGCATCCTGTTCTTATAGTGGCCAACCAGACACCTGTGGGAAACCAGCAAGCAGGACCTGAGCGCACACAACAATAATAAATTTTCTGCACTGATTTCCATTTCTCTTTTCTCTTTAAAGGTAAACAAAATCACTGCGGATGATGCTGACTTGTACCGTTGCACCGCTGTGAATGAGTATGGGGAAGCCACCTGCACTGCTGGTCTCAAGATCATACAGGGTAGGCTAGTCAAGGTAGCATGCTGCATTCAGCCTAAACAATAATGCTTTGGCACTGAGGACCAACTATTACTTAAGTTGCAATCCTAAACATGCTTACCAGGGGTGAAAGCACTGCTGAGTACAATGAGACTTACTTCTGAGTATGTATGCATAAAAAGGTAAAAGGACCCCTGACCATTAGGTCCAGTCGCAGACGACTCTGGGGTTGCGGCGCTCATCTTGCTTTACTGGCCAAGGGAGCCGGCGTACAGCTTCCGGGTCATGTGGCCAGCATGACTAAGCCGCTTCTGGCAAACCAGAGCAGCGCATGGAAACACCGTTTACCTTTCCGCCGGAGCGGTACCTATTTATCTACTTGCCCTTTTGATGTGCTTTCAGACTGCTAGGTTGGCAGGAGCAGGGACCAAGCAACAGGAGCTCACCCCGTCACGGGGATTCAAACCGCCGACCTTCTGATCGGCAAGCCCTAGGCTCTGTGGTATGCATAGGATGGCATTATTAATGCAAATAATAAGTATGGGAGGGACAATAACTTAGTGGTAGAGCACATAACTTTGCATGGAGAAGTTTCCCGGTTCAACCTCTGGCATCTCTAGTTTAAAGGATCAGGAAGCAAATGATGTGAGTGACCTGAGACCCTGGAGAACTGCTGTCATTCAGAAAGAAAAAAAATATCCAGTATGATATGTATAATGCAACTATAGGTATTCTTATTCATGAAAGGTACCCATTAAAATCTACAGGCCAACAAAGGGCTTTCTCTATGACTGTAATTGCCATTAGGCATTTGAATGTCATGTTTTAATAGAATATTTAAATGAGAAACATAGATGATGCATTTCCCAGTTTGACTAATACAAAGCGAACCATGCTTGTCTCACTGAATTCGGTATAAGTATGGACTGTACACTTAAGCCCTAAGAATTCTGTGAGGCTTGAGTGTGCTTAACTTCTAAATTGTAACAACTGTCAATGCTTAGAGGAGACATTCCTGCAACTACATTGCTAATTAAGGAATTCTCCTTCCCTCTTGATTTCTCTCCCTCCTCACCTTTCTTCTCTTGCCGTAACTGATCAGTTGGCTTCAAGAAGAAAGCGAAGCAGACTTCTTCTGCACCACAGACAGGTAAGCTGCATTGGTCTGGAGGCTCACAAGCCAAGACTTTGCCACTTGATAATACATCGACCACATCAACACTCTTATTAAGTTCTGGGTTAAGGAAGCCCCATTTTCATTGCATGCCAATTCTTTTTTAAAAAAAATCTTGCAGACCTGAAAAAGGAGCTCCAGGACTTCAGAAAAACATTAAAGAAACGGTGAGTGTTTCCAAGAACAGGTTGTTTTATAAAGTAGGGGGAAGGGGGTCCCTGACTTCCAAAAAATATGATATGGCTGACAACGTCCCAATTCCCACTTGCAAAGGGCATTATATAAATGGTTATTCTGCAGAAAATGTTCATGAACATCAGTATATAATAAGCAGATATCTTGCTTCTGACAGTAATAGGGATCAGTCCCCAGTAAATGTTGCTGTCAGTATGTATAAATGTAATAAGTGAATAATAAATACTGTGTGTACAGATAGGCTTAAAACATCTTCTTGATAAATTACTGTTTCATGATTCCAAATGGTGGGAGGGCCAACATCTCCCCAGGTAAGATGTTCCAGTGCAGAGGTATTTTAGCTTGCAGAAATAATGTAGTGTACTTAATAATGCCACCCGCTGAGTGCAATTCTGCCATTAGCTGCAAACATCCCCATCATAAACAGAGGAGGCTATATATGGTGTCATTAAAGAAAACAAATGGAGTCCTACTAGTATGTTCCTAGTGGATTTGCCTCAGATTCTGAAGAGGGTTTGGAATGAAAAGCAACCCCTCCACCCCAAAAAACACCCCACCACATATACATATTGAGAAAGATGTCTCCTGCTATTCACATATAATCAGGGTTTCTCTTCCTGGTACTTAACTCTCTCAGAACGCCTTCAAGTGCTCCAAAGAAGGAAATTGATATGGAACAGATCTGGCAGTTATTGCTGAATGCAGATAAGAAAGATTATGAAAGGATCTGCCTAAAGTATGGCATTGTTGACTTCCGTGGGATGCTGAGGAAGCTTCAAGAGATGAAGAAGGAGAGAGAGGACAAGCAGGCACAAGTAAGGCTATCTCTTTAACGCCAGAATCTAGGGAGGCAAATCCTCATCTTGTTGCATTTCATAGAAAGAAGAAGAAGAAGCTGTCTTATACTGAGTCAGGCCATTGGTTCACCAGGCTCAGTATTTTCTACCCTGGCTGCCAGCAGCTCCTCAAGATTGAAGGCAGGGATCTCTCACAGTCCTATCTAGAGATGCCTGAGGACTGTTGTTGGGAAATTCTGCCTGCAAAGTAGATGCTTTACGCTGAATTATGACGTTATCTGTGTCACAAATTCAGAATTGAGTAAGTTTTTCTGAAGGTCCCATGCAGATTAAATGATCCAATCACAGATCTCCAGGTGAAATTTAAAACTTTATTGCCAAAGCTCTGAGTATTATAGTGAACTTGACACAAGGCTTGGGCTTGTTTTCCACAGCACATTCTCCTTAGAAAGGAGAGCACCCAGATTTATCTAAAAAGCATCGAAACAGTAATCTTGCTTACTGCTGTTGAAATAATTGCCTTGGTTGTCCCCAGAACAGGCAGTACCCCATTTAAGCAGCGTTAATAGTCCTTGAAATCCCCTATTATATCTCGTCTTTGCTCTTTACAGTATCTGCTCAACCTCAGGAACCTGAGGCATGTCAGAGTCAATGAGGTGCAAGGAAATGCTTCATTTGACCTAGAGATGGAACTGAAAAATCCAGAAAGTAGAATTTACCTATACAAGGTAAGGAAGGTTAAGTCAAGTCACGAAGTTGTACCATATCAGACATCTGGGCTGAACTGGAGCTAAGTAGCTCAGGAGAGAAACCGAGAAATGCATAGCAGCATTGCTTGACTCCATGGTATACTATACATGTTTACAGTGGTACCTCGGGTTAAGTACTTAATTCGTTCCAGAGGTCCGTACTTAACCTGAAACTGTTCTTAACCTGAAGCACCACTTTAGCTAATGGGGCCTCCTGCTGCCGCCGTGCCACCGGAGCTCGATTTCTGTTCTCATCCTGAAGCAAAGTTCTTAACCTGAAGCACTATTTCTGGGTTAGCGGAGTCTGTAACCTGAAGCGTATGTAACCTGAAGCGTAGGTAACCTGAAGCGTAGGTAACCTGAGGTACCACTGGAAACAAATTTCAGAAGGGAATGTGTTAAAGTGAAAGCACGGCTTCTACACCTCTTTAGGAGGAGTAACAATGACACAATAATCTTCCAAAAGGATACTGTAGAGTTGGAAAAGGTTCAGAAAGGGGCAGTCAAAAGGAACAGGGGATGGAACAACTCTCCTATGGTGACAGGTAGTGTTTGGGCCTTTTAGTTTAGAGCAAAGTTAAGAGGTGACATGACAGAAGTTACTCCTGGTATGTTGAAACTGGATAGTGAAAAGTTTTTCTCCCCCTCTCATAATACCAGTCCTCATTGGACATCCAGTGAACTTGAATATTGGAAGATTCAGGACAGATAAAAGAAAGTACTTTTTCATGTAGCACATAGCCACCCAGAGTGGCTGGGGCAACCCAGTCAGATGGATGGGGTACAAATAGTTAAACAATGAGACTCTCAGTGATGGCACCCAACTGGGGTGGTTTTAAAAGAGGATTAGATAAATTGATGGAGGATCTATCAATGGGCTTGCTCTACCTCCATGGTCAGAGGCAATAATAGCAGTTCTCAAAACTCAATATTTACGAATATTTACATATCCGTGTTCATTTTAAATCCCTGGTTAGCTTGTTTTTTTGGTGTTTCCCAATTATAGAGGCTTCATGGAATCTTTGTCACCTGTCAATTTGTTGCAAATGGACATTTGCAAGGATCATTTTGCTTGGACTTTGGTTTATATCGTTTCCAAGATGATTCTGACCTTCCTGTGAATTTATTCTCTTTCCTTCCTCCCTTCAGGATGGCCAGATGATCAATTTTGCATTTGACAGTGAAAACACAAAGCACTGCCTGCGACAGGTTGGCAAAAAGTACAATTTTATCATCAACGATCTGCAGCCAGAAGATGCTGGCGTGTACCAGATCAAAGTAGAAGATGTAGATGTTTTCTCAACTGAGCTGGAAGCAGAATGTAAGGCTTCGTGACCATGGGGTTGTGCACAGAACCTAGAGGGGGTGTGCATTTGTTTCATAACATATGGAAAAAAATTGAAATGAATGGGGGCCACTCATTTCATTTGATATTACTGGTAAAGAAACAAATGCCAGAGTTCTGGATGAATTCCAAATGTCATATATTCGTTCATTGCTCATTTATGACTTGTTTGGAACCATTCATCTCCTACTAACAGCAGGTATAGATCAGATGAAGATTACTGGTTGAGCTGCGGTAGTTTTCCTAACTTCCACATTTCCAAAGGGCTCATCCAGACTTGCTTTCCCCTGGAAAAACACATCTTTATTGCTAAATTGGAGCAAATGCCAATCATGTTTTCTCCGATTTATCGCTAAAGAATGGACAAGGGCAAAACCGCTCAGACCCATGCTTAGAAAGTGCAAGAGAAGCAGAAAACCACCCCGACCCATGGTTTCCGGGCATGGGAGAAGTAAACGTGAGGATGAGTTAATGATTTGTACAGTGATACCTTGGTTCCTGAATGGCTTAGCTGTTGAACAAATGAGCTCCCAAACACCGCAAACCCAGAAGTAAGTCTTAAAAAGAACACCCAGAAGTAAGTGTTCTGGTTTGCAAACGTTTTTCAGAAGCTGAATGTCTGATGTGGCTTCCGATTAAGTGCAAGAAGCTTCTGCATCCAATTGGAAGCCGTGCCTTAGTTTTCAAATGGTTTTCAAATGGAGTTTTCAAATGGTTTTCAAATGGAGTTTTCAAATGGTTTTCAAATGGAGTTGAATGGACTACCGGAATGGATTAAGTTCAAGAACCGAGCTACCACTGTAGTTTGAAAGAGAGATTAGTTGATACATAGTCTGATCATGAAACAGGGGCCCTTTTCCCTATCTGTCTGAATTGTAGCAGGTCTGATTCTAAGGTCTGATTCCTTAGAAAGGGAATGAAATCCTTGATATTTTCATACCAACTGGAAAACACAGAGTAACAAGGAGAAGAAGTGCCACTGGATGTCCCATAGAAGGCAGGGGGAAACCAAGAACAAATGAGAATAATGACAATGAATTAAATAATAATGAAAATGAATGTGAATATCAATTAATGAATCACTAAATGAGTGAGGGTTTAATAACAAAAACAAAATAACTACTGGGGGGATTCTTGCACACCCCTAGTCTCAGCTGTAATTAAATCTCAAAGTTACAGCTCAATCCTATGCATGGTCTCTCAGAAGCAAGTCCTGTGTTTACCCGCAGGGTTGCAGGATGCATAGGATTGCCACCTGACTAGTGTCAAAAATTAACAACAAAAATTAACAATGAAAACAAATGTTCAAACTAAGGCCTCAGGGCTTCTTCATGCGTTATTCTTTTTAAGGCTGTAACTGTAACCTCATGCATCAGTTGTGTCTTTTTGATGCACATAGTACATAAACACACACGCCAGGGATTTATACCCATGTTGGATCAAATGTCTCATAAGATGTGAAGCAGCTCTCACTTTTGTGACTGAGCTCAGCTTTAATAGAAAGATGCTGTGTAGGCTGAGAACTTGATTAGAAGGCAGAAGGGGCTTGTTTCTAATTGCATAATGGTGCATATTTTACCAAACATGAGGTTTTAAGACCTCATTTTACCAAAAAACCAAAACATGATAGCACCTAGCTACAGTCTAGATATGGAGCCCCAGCTGACATTAGAGCATCTCACAAGCTTTAATGTATAATCTGAGAGTTAAAAATTGCTGCATAAAATAAGGGCAGATAAATTTCTTGGAGGTTTTCACATGCAGTCCATATCAGGCTATCAGGGTGCTTTGTTGCCAAATCGGGGCTGGAAGTTCTGTTCAGGTTTTAGCATTTGTTTGGGTAATTTTGGAAGGCAGATACTAAGCCCTCACTCGCTGCTGAATGGAACTGGGTTTCCCCACGTTCCATCCATCTCACTGCTCTTCCAAAGCTGCCCTGCGGTCAGAATCTGTTGCATGTCTGTTTAACATCAATTTGGTATTGCAGCCATCCCAGTAAGTTTTCGCTATCCTCTTGGTGAGGTGAGATGCCACGAGCAAGGAAATGCTGTCTTTCAGTGCACTCTCTATGAACCCTGCTCCAACGCTACGTGGCTGCACAGAGACCGTATTCTAGAGTCCAATGACAAGTATGAAATTTCGGTCTCGGAAGATGGCCTCACTCATCGCCTAATCATCAAAAACACCCAGGCCTCTGACAAGGGGACTTACACCATTGATGTTGGAGACCGCTCTTCAAGTGCCTGGCTTGAGGTTGAATGTGAGTGGTGATCTAATCTCGATTTCTCACACTATAATCTATTGTGAAGTGGGGTGCCCCATTCCCTCATAGCAGCACTTCAGGGTTCTACATCCAAGGACTGATTATTAAGCGCCCAATTATGGAGTACAGGCTGATTTAAATGGGATAGATATTGGAAGAAACCTTAGGGCCTATTGTCATTATTTCTTACACCAGTAACTTTAAATAGCAATCCTTTAATTGTGCTTGTGCTTTCCTGTCTGGCATGTTTAACATGTATTAGAAATGTCATTGATTTAAAGGAAAGGAGTTCTATAGAAAACTTTGTTAAATTGTAAAAACACGAACAGTTCATCTATACCAGCACACTGTTTCCAACACTAGCAGAAAGAGATATAAAGGACCCATTTTAGTTGCCATAGCCAATATTTGTTGACAGTCCCTAACCTTTATTCACTTGTCCATACCATTGTTAAAGATATGAGTCAATCTAGTGGGCGTGACTTTAATTTGTGGCCTATAATGCCATTTTGGTTGTTTTTGTTAATGCCAGTAACTATTTGGAAATAAGAGGTGATTTCCTTCACTAAAAACTAACTAACTAAATTCATGTATAATATTGATCATGATGTAGAATAAAATGCCACACACACAGTGGGTGGCATCACATCTATTTCCTTAATATGGTTCTGATTAAAACAGAATTATTTTGCACTACATTAGTTCCCCCCTTGTTTTCCCATTTATTTCTTGTACATGGCTGTGAACTAGTTTAAGCTGACTAGCAATATGTTTACAATGCAGCTAAAGGAAAGAGAAAACAGACTGAAGGAGATAGTGATGATATAACTGGATGGCGGAAGAAACAGCCAGATGAAGACCGTGCAAAGAAACTTCGTCAAGGACAAGGCCGTGATGAGCAGGATGGCCAGTATAAGAATGGCCAAGCTGGCGAAGGAGAATCTTATGGTTCCTTAGGAAAAGATGGATCTTTGGGAAGAGGAGGAGCCAACAGAGATGGGAAGATGGGACAGTTTTCTGGGGTGGGGACAGACATGGGAGAAGGGCATGAGTTCTCTGGATTTGCTGGTGGTAGTAGTGAACATATGGGACATACTGGATATGGTGTTAGTGGAGGAATGGGTGGTTTGGGTGGCATGGGTTCACTGCATGGTAAAGATGCTATGTTAGGTGGCACAGGAACTGGATCTGGAGGTGCAGGTGGATGGCAAACTTCAGATGGTTCCACATTTAATGGAGCAGGTGGGCCAGGAGCTGGGTTTGGTGGTGCTGGTGGAGTAGGTGGACTCTATGGCAAGGATGGTAAGGTAGGTGGAGCTGGTGCTGGTGGAGTAGGTGGACTCTACGGCAAGGATGGGATGGTAGGTGGAGCTGGTGCTGGTGGAGTAGGTGGACTCTATGGCAAGGATGGGATGCTAGGTGGAGCTGGTGCTGGGGGAGCTGGCAGTGCTGGCAGAGAAGGTGGACTTTATGGTAAGGATGGCATGCTTGGTGGAGGTGGTGGTGCTGGTGGAGCAGGTGGACTCTATGGCAAGGATGGGATGCTAGGTGGAGCTGGAGCTGGGGGAGCTGGTGGTGCTGGTGTAGGTGGACTTTATGGTAAGGATGGGATGCTAGGTGGAGCTGGTGCTGGGGGAGCTGGTGGTGCTGGTGGAGTAGGTGGACTTTATGGGAAGGATGGTATGTTAGGTGGAGCTGGTGGTGCTGGTGGAGCAGGTGGACTCTACGGCAAGGATGGGATGCTAGGTGGAGCTGGAGCTGGGGGAGCTGGTGGTGCTGGTGTAGGTGGACTTTATGGTAAGGATGGGATGCTAGGTGGAGCTGGTGCTGGGGGAGCTGGTGGTGCTGGTGGAGTAGGTGGACTTTATGGGAAGGATGGTATGTTAGGTGGAGCTGGTGGTGCTGGTGGAGCAGGTGGACTCTACGGCAAGGATGGGATGCTAGGTGGAGCTGGAGCTGGGGGAGCTGGTGGTGCTGGTGTAGGTGGACTTTATGGTAAGGATGGGATGCTAGGTGGAGCTGGTATTGGCGGACCTGGTGGTACTGGTGGACTTCATGGCAAGGATGGGATGCTAGGTGGAGCTGGGGCTGGTGGAGCTGGTGGTCCTGGTGGATTTGGGGGACTTTATGGCCAGGATGGTATGTTAGGTGGTGCTGGTGGACCTGGCAGTGCTGGTGGAGTAGGTGGACTTTATGGTAAGGATGGTATGTTAGGTGGAGCTGGTGGTGCTGGTGGATTTGGGGGACTTTATGGCAAGGATGGTATGTTAGGTGGAGCTGGTGCTGGTGGAGCCGCCGGTGCTGGTGGAGTAGGGGGACTTTATGGCAAGGATGGGATGCTAGGTGGAGCTGGCACTGAGGGTGCTGATGGAGTGGGTGGACTTTATGGCAAAGATGGTTTTCTAGGTGGAGCTGGTGGACTTGATGGTGCTGGTGGAGTAGGTGGACTTTGTGGCAAAGACGGTCTGCCAATTGGAGCTGGTCAACTTGGTGGTGCTGGTGGATTTGGGGGACTTTATGGCAAGGATGGTATGTTAGGTGGAGCTGGTGATGCTGGTGGTGTAGGAGGACCTTATGGTAAGGATGGTATGCTAGGCGGAGTTGGTGCTGGTGGACCTGGCATTGGTGATGGAGTGGGTGGGCCTTATGGCAAGGATGGCAAGCTAGGCAGAACTGGACCTGACGGACCTGGTGGTGCTGGTGGAGTAGGTGGACTCTACAGCAAGGATGGGATGCTAGGTGGAGCTGGAGCTGGCGGACCTGGTGGTGTTGGTGGAGGAGGTGGAGTAGGTGGTGCTGGTGGAGTAGGTGGACTTTATGGCAAGGATGGTATGTTAGCTGGAGCTGGTGCTGGTGGACCTGGTGGTGCTGGTGGAGTAGGAGGACTTTATGGGAAGGATGGAATGCTAGGTGGAGCTGGTGCTGGCGGGCCTGGTGGTGCTGGCGGAGTAGGTGGTGCTGGTGGAGTAGGTAGTGCTGGTGGAGTAGGAGGACTTTACGGCAAGGATGGGATGCTAGGTGGAGTTGGTATTGGCGGACCTGGTGGTACTGGTGGAGTAGGTGGACTTTATGGCAAGGATGGAATGCTAGGTGGAGCTGGTGCTGGTGGACCTGGTGGTGCTGGTGGAGTAGGTGGACTTTATGGCAAGGATGGTGTGTTAGGTGGAGCTGGTGCTGGTGGACCTGGTGGTGCTGGTGGAGTAGGGGGACTTTATGGTCAGGATGGTATGTTAGCAGGAGCTGGAGCTGGAGCTGGTGCTGGCGGACTTGGCGGTGCTGGTGGAGTAGGTGGTGCTGGTGGAGTAGGTGGACTTTATGGCAAGGATGGAATGCTAGGTGGAGCTGGTGCTGGTGGACCTGGTGGTGCTGCTGGAGTAGGGGGACTTTATGGCAAGGATGGTGTATTAGGTGGAGCTGGTGCTGGTGGAGCTGGCGGTGCTGGTGGAGTAAGTGGACTTTATGGTCAGGATGGTATGTTAGCTGGAGCTGGAGCTGGTGCTAGCGGACTTGGTGGTGCTGGTGGAGTAGGTGGTGCTGGTGGAGTAGGGGGACTTTATGGCAAGGATGGGATGCTAGGTGGAGCTGGTGCTGGTGCTGGTGCTTGCGGACCTGGTGGTACTGGTGGAGTAGGTGGACTTTATGGTAAGGATGGTGTTTTAGGTGGAGCTGGTGCTGGTGGACCTGGTGGTGCTGCTGGAGTAGGTGGACTTTATGGCAAGGATGGTATGTTAGCTGGAACTGGTGCTGGCGGACCTGGTGGTGCTGGTGGAGCTGGCGGTGCTGGTGGAGTAGGTGGACTCTATGGCAAGGATGGGATGCTAGGTGGAGCTGGTGCTGGGGGAGCTGGCGGTGCTGGGGGAGTAGGTGGACTTTATGGTCAGGATGGTGTGTTAGGTGGAGCTGGTGGTGCTGGTGGAGTAGGTGGACTCTATGGCAAGGATGGGATGCTAGGTGGAGCTGGTGCTGGGGGAGCTGGCAGTGCTGGGGGAGTAGGTGGACTTTATGGTAAGGATGGTATGTTAGCTGGAGCTGGAGTAGGTGCTGGCGGACCTGGCGGTGCTGGTGGAGTAGGTGGTGCTGGTGGAGTAGGGGGACTTTATGGCAAGGATGGGATGCTAGGTGGAGCTGGTGCTGGCGGACTTGGTGGTGCTGGTGGAGTAGGTGGAGTAGGTGGTGCTGGTGGAGTAGGTGGACTTTATGGCAAGGATGGTATGTTAGGTGGAGCTGGTGCTGGCGGACCTGGTGGTGTTGGCGGCATTGGTGGGCTCTATGGTAAGGATGGCATGCCAAGTAGACCAGGCATTGGCGGACTTGGTGGTGCTGGTGGCACAGACAGTCTGCTTGACAGTACTGGTGTTTCTGGTGCAGAAGGTATGAGAGGTCATCATGGTAAGGATGGTGTGCTTCCTGGGGTTGGTGGTGTTGGGTTAAGAGGTGTAGGGAGCACCGGTGACCTTTATGGTCAGGCAGGTACTTTACATGGAACTGAGGCTGGTGGTGCTGGCACTGGATTAGGAGGCATGGGTAGCATGATGGATCGAACTGGAGGAGCTGGCACCAAGTATGGTGTATCAGGTGAGGGTTATGGTGAAGGAGGGATAGGTAAGGATGGCAGGGTTAGTGGAACTGGTGCTGGTGGTCTTAGTGGTGAGGGATGGTTGGATGGTAGGGATGGTAGGCTAGGTGGATTTGGTGTTGGTCCAGGAGTTAGAGGTGCTGATGGATCCCTGTATGAGAATATGTCAGGCATTCCTGGTGAAGAGTTCCTAGGCTATGGACAGTCTTCTGGCCTTTCTGACGCTGGAACCCATGCTGGTGACAGAAGAAGACAGCTGTCTGACTTAGATGCCAGTCAACTTACTTCATCTGATATTTCAAGAACCAGGGACAGGAAAGGGAGAGGAGGAAGTCTTCTTGAAGAGGATGTGAGAGGTATTTATATATTTATGAACATAGTAAGCCCACAACTTATGCTCACTGTTTTTTTAACGCGACCACAACCTTATGCAGGAGATCAAAAATATATATGTAAATTGGAAAAATGTGGGGGAAATTCAAATACGCGTTTAAAAAAATGTCAGAAAAAAGCAGGGGAGCAGGAAACAATAGTTGGCAATCCCATCAGCCTTTGTACTCACCCTGGGAGAGTGTTCAAGCGTCTTTAGAGAGTTGGAGTCAGAGAACCAGATAATGAGATAGGGCCTAGCAAGGGCACAGAGAGCAAGCAAAGGTGGTCTGAGAGTTAGGGGCAGGTCATCTGAGAATTCCTGGCTTTACGTGTTTTTGCATTTGCATTCGGTTCCCGGTAACCGAACCCTCATGTAAGTTGCGGGCTTACTGTAATTTATTGTCTCCCTGTTTCATTTATTTGTGTTTATAACATCTCTCATGTTTTTAAAGATGTTTTCTAAAAATAGTCCCTTCTATCTCTTTTGTTTGCACAGAATCACATCCCCGTTTCAACCAAGGTTTATTTGACCTCCATGCACCAAAAGGAAAACCAGCTGTGTTAACTTGCAGCCTCAACAATGACCAGCTTGAGGGAACTTGGTTTAAAGATGGGTTCAAGGTAACTTGAAAGCAGTAAACATCTCAAGAATGTCTTTTTAGTGTTATACTCATCTTTTTCACTTTAATTTTTTATCTTGAAATAAAGCTTCCATAATGCAGACAACAAGCAGGAGGAACACAATGCCTAACTTTGCCTCTTGTTGTTATCAACCAAAGATGGGACATGTCTAAAACCGGTTTAGAGAAAATAGATGACTTTTTGACTCTCTCTATCTGTTTGCTGTAATGTTCCATGTAATTTCTGAGAGAGAATATTTCTTTACCTTCTGTCTACCTCCCCACAAGATAACAGGTCAGGATGGAATCTCCATTGAGAAGGAGGGCCCAGTCCACAAACTATTAATAGATGAAGTACAAGATAGCCATGCTGGAAAATACAAATTCGAAGCTGGAGGAGTCCGAACAGAGGCATCTATTTTTGTTGAAGGCAAGTCTAGTCCAGCCTAGTAGAGAAAATGGTGCTAAAATTGCTACTGGTTGAATTATGCTCTTAGTATTATATGATTTTGTGGGACACATAGTGCTGGAAAGCATGATGAAGTCACTGAATAATGCACATAAACCAGATATCATTCTCTCAAAAGCAGAGAGTAGGGATCACCTGGGAGACATTTCATCATGAGAACCTTGGTCATTTCAGAACGGCTCTGCCAAACTAATCTTCCTCCCCAGTTGCTTTGATTATGAATTACCCTTCCTCCTTACTTCCCTACAGTGGCTCTCTATCACATCTAGTTCTTACCCTTAAAGTTTTCTCCCATGACTTTGCCATCATTTCTATGGCACCTCTTCCCATGCCACCTGCTGTCCAAATGTTTACTTTCCCTTCCTTTTTTATTTCTCTTTCCCTCATTGACCTCTGTCCCTTCTTCCACATTGTTGTACAGCGCTTGTAGCAGCTCTGTAATCTTGACTCACTTAGATACCTTCTGAGAATTCACATTTTTAAAACTTAAAAATAATCATCATACTAGGCTCGTTGCTTGCTATCAGTGGCGTAGCGTGGGGGGTGCAGGGGGGGCCGGCCGCACCGGCCGCAACATCTGGGGGGGGCGCGCTCGCACTCGCAGCTCTCTGCCCCTACCTGGCTCACTCACTCTCTCTCACTGCAGTGCTGGCTGTGCGAATCCGATCCGAGCTGCTGGGTCGCCGCCCACTGTGGAGGGGTGGGTGCCAGGCGTGCGGTGCGGAGAGAGAGCAAGGGACTATCTGGGGGAGGGACAGTGCAGCGGCCGCCCAGCGCAGCGCTGAGCGCGGGAGAGAACCACACCAGACCAGCCCAGGCAGCAGCAAGAAGAAGCTGGCAGCGGCGGCAGGTTAGGGGTTAGGGGGCGCAAATTACTTGCCTTGCCCCGGGTTAGGGGGCGCAAATTACTTGCCTTGCCCCAGGTTAGGGGGCGCAAATTACTTGCCTTGCCCCGGGTGCTGACAACCCACGCTACGCCGCTGCTTGCTATTCCTCTGTTTCTTTACTTCCTACATTACAGTTGCAGTGCTTCCTGCTACCTTAGCTACCACTTAGCTTCTGACCCTGTTCCCCATCCCTGGGATCTATTACAGTTTGTTTGTATGTCCTCTGAGTGAAGACTGCATCACTTGTACTAAGCACACTATCAGCAGTAAAACAACATCAGATACTTGGATTAGTGACAAAGGACTTTCGTTGTCAGTGGGTTTTCAGTGAGGTGCACTTTGAAAGAGTTTAAGAATTCTGTGAATTCTGAGGTTCTGGCAACCATTGGCAAAATATTAGGCGTCACTATTTCCTGTGGGCTCGTGGGTTATTTAAAAGAATAATAAGCGTAGAGCATCCATATATTAGGGCTAATTCATGTACCTCTTATTTCTATGTGCAGACCCTCCAAATGTTGACTCTGCTCTTCTGGAAAAACTGAAGAAGGAACCTATAGTAGTAAAGGCAGGAAAGAATGCCATAGTGAAGATCCCATTTGAAGGCCGGAAGCCAGTCAGATCAACTTGGCTAAAGGATGAAGGGGAACTTCTGGATGATGCCAGGATCAGCACTGACTATTCAGACAACTTCACCCGGCTCTCCATATCCAGTGCTAATCGGAAGGACTGTGGTGATTATAAAGTGAAACTGAAGAATGAGAGTGGAAGCACTGAAGCTACTCTCAAGCTGGTAGTTATAGGTGAGAGACCCCAAGTATTTTAGCAATAAGGCATAAGACAACTTTATGGGGGCCTTTAAGGCCTGCATGTGGTGTCACACATTTGGAAGCTGAAGCATAGAGAGCATATTTATTGGTACATGGTGCCTATAAGCAGGTAGTTGCAGCGTAGAGCATGCACCAATTCTGATTAATGTTGAAGACAGGCAGGCAGGCAGACAGACACACACACACACAGAGAGAGAGAGAGAGAGAGAGAGAGAGGTTGTTCATAGCACAGAAAGTGCTTTTTGATTATAATGCCTGTCTCTAGCATATCAGAAAATAAAGCATTTTTGCCCCTCCCTGATTGCTCTCTTGCTTGATCATTACTGCTGCCTCCTCCTGTTGGAAATCACAGTGCTTACTGCAGGATCGTTAAGATGGAAGCAGCCCAGCATCCTCCCATTCAAGCACCTTGGCTGCAGAGCACTCCATTTCCCATGTGAAACCAGAAGCAGTAGCAGCAGTAGTGTGTGGACAGGGACAAGAACGATATATTAACATTAGTATGCTACTGATAAATAGTCTAAGAAAAAGTGCTGACAGATCATTTTTCCAGCACTGGATAAGAAGAGCCTTGCTGGATCCGATTTGTTATCCCACTTCCCACAGTGGCCAACTAGCTTCAGGTACCTCTGGGAAGCTCAAAAGATATCGCAACCATTCCAATACCAAGCAGACACAAAAGACCTTTTTCCATCAGCTCTGTTTTGCTCCTCCATGCAGATAAGCCTCAACCACCAATGGGACCCGTCGAAGTTGTGGACTGCTCCACAAACAGTATAACTATCCAGTGGAAGCCCCCCAAAGACGATGGTGGCAAACCAATCCAGAGTTATATTATCGAGAGGCAGCAGGTTGGCAGAAAGACCTGGGTGACCTTGGGGAAGAGCGATGGAAGCAGCACTGTCTTCACCACCAACAAAGTGGAACATGACAAAAGTTACTACTTCAAAGTGAGAGCAGTGAATGCCGAAGGTACCAGTGAGGCACTGGAGTCTGATGAAGTGATGGCTGCTACCAAAGGTAACAGGGACCCTTCTGCATGTTTGTTTGTCAGCTTGCCATGCCAACATTCAACATCCCATCAGACCCCCAATGATGTGTAACTAAATTGCATGGACGTCTGCTAGTGGTACTTGCTAGCTGAATTAGAAATTATGATTAGAAATTATTCTTGTTTTAACAGGCAGTATAGATGTTTAAATAATGAGCAACTGCATTCCCCCCCCCAGCATTTCCTGGTCCTCCTGCTCCTCCCAAAATTGTCAGTACCAGCAAGGGTGCCGTCACACTCTCATGGGCAGCACCACATAAGACCGGCAACTCCCGCATCTTGGGCTACAGGATTGAGAAGTGCAAGAAGGGCAGCAACAGCTGGACACCTGTCACTGATGTGCCCATTACAGGTAAGCAGTCATAGAGCAAAGTGGCTAAAGGGCATTACAATAGGAACTGGAATATTGAGATGTATTCTTAGGTTGCCAATTTAGCTCTGGTAAAGTATAATGACGACTTATAAAAGTGATGAATAAGTAAAAATGAGTTATGGAAAATATGGCACTGGTCTTCATGCTTTTAGGATGATGCGGTAGAAACTATTTAAAAATATATTTGCAGGGTTATAATAAGCCCTTTTCTGCTGACAATTTATGGTGTCTCAAATAGCTGCTTGGTTTTATTCTAATTTTATGAACTGTTTTGCATTTTAAATGTTTTGTTTACTGCCTTGTGAAGGCTTTTAACCTCCTGCCTAAAATACGTTACTAAATTAAGTAACCTTGCTCACCGGATAGTTTTGTTGATTAGACTTCCCTTCTGAACTTAACCACAAATGTTCTCATCAATCCCTATACCTATTTTCTTTTTCTATAGTAGGGGAAATAATTAGGTAAATTAGTTAGAAGAATGTACTATAGGTTAAAGTCTCTTTATTATCCTTGCTCTCAGTAATGCAAACACAAAGCCAAGGTTGACTGACTCCATATTGTGGCATCACCATGCTCACTATATGATTTCCTGAATGGATTTGGGATCATTATTTATTTTTTAAAATTTCTATGTCTCCATCCAAGGATCACAGGGCAGTTTACAATATAAAAACACAAGAATGCATACCATAGTAACAAACAAAAACAATCCCACCCTCTCAACACACAGTTAAAAAAAACCCCATAGATGACTGTTGTTGGCAGCTTCATTGTCCCCTAAGTGCAGGACAGCTCAGTCAGTACATAATGCGACTTTATTTCAGGATTGTGGGTTCGAGCCCCACATAGGGGGAAAGATCCCTGCATCCTAGGCAGTTGGACTAGATGACCTTTGTAGTTCCTTCCAATTCTATGACCTCTCTTCTTTATCTTAAGTGGGACTTAGAGCAGACAGCCCTTTAAACAGAAGTCTCTTTCTAATAGAGGACTACATTCTGTAAAAAAAGAAAAAGAAGAGTGCATGACAATGCTCATTGGGATATAGTCAACTTTGTTTTTCTCACACGCTGAAATTAATGGCTTGAAGTTAGTCGTGGCCATTAATTTCAGTGGGACCACTTTGAGTAGGAATAACATTCAGTTTCATTTTTCTCCTGTATCTGTTGACTACAAAACTCAAAGCAGGATAATTATTTCTCATTATGTTATTAAATTCCACAGACAGGAAGTACACAGTGACTGACCTGAAGGAGGGTCTGCTGTATGAATTCCGTGTGGCTGCCATTAATGCTGCAGGGGCGGGTGACGTTAGTGTGCCGTCGGAAGCTGCTTTTGCTCGGGATCCCATGAGTAAGTGATTCAGTCTATCCTACTGGGCATGGCACAGGAAAACCAGAGGTGGGGAAGGTGGGGAGAAAGAGAGAAGTTGCACAAAATGTTTCAATGTGTTCATCCACTCAACAAATCATTTGCCGAGTGCCATCATTCATGTTTAAATTGGGATATGGGTTTCAGGCAGCGGTACTCAATTACCCCACTCAGTAATGGAAAATGTCCCCTTTGCTTGAGAAAAGCCCAAATGACAGCAGTAATCACTAGCTCCACATTCACTAGGGAATGGCCATGAGTAAATGCATGGAGGGTGGACACAACAGGCCAAATAATGACATTTCTAATTGTTATTCTATAAAAACTGTATGGGTTCCAATCAGGCATGGCCAGCAGGGTGAGGTAGTCGCCTGACAGTGATGTCACTGTTTCTCCCTATGATGGGGCCAGGACAGCAACAATGCAGCCAAGACCTAGCATTTCTGCTGGTGCACTTGCCCCAATCTTGCCACCACCCTGCCCCTTCACTGTACTCTCAAGATAAGCAGCAGTACCGCTGCAGAGAGAACAAGCCACTCTTGATGCCGGTATATAAATATATATTTGATACACAAATTCTACTGTCTGTTACAGAGTGCATGGTATAGAATTTCCAGTGAACTGGGTACAGGGTAGGGAATGATTGCCAGAGTTACCAGAAAGAGGGCTGGGATTTGTCATGACATTATGCTTCTGCACTAACACATTACAAAAAGTAAGGGAGCAAAGATAAACCAAGGGAGGCAGAACTGAACAACAAGGAAAAAATAAACTGATTGGAATTTTGAATCATCCCCTGTCCAGAACCACCAGGTGCAGTGAGAGATCTTAAAGTGATCAGTTCTGACTACTGCAGCATCTCTTTGTCATGGACGAAGCCAGAAGCAGAGGAAGAAAGTCATGCCAAAGGCTACATTATAGAGATGCGGCACACTGACACTCTGAAGTGGACCCAGTGTAATTCCCTCCCAATCCCAATGACTACATACACAGTTAGAGGGCTAAAAGCCAGGGAGATGTACTTCCTACGAGTGAGAGCAGTCAATGATGGTGGTTTTGGCGAGCCCGTCGAACTGGACACTTGTGTCCAAGCTGTACCTCCCACAGGTGAGTCATAATGTGCAGCTTTTGCTTTGGTAATTGATGGTATACAGAGACTAAAATCTGTGGGACTTCCCCAAGGAGTAGAAGACTAGGAACAGGGAAAAGCAGTAGAGAATGAACCATAGGGAATAGATGGCAGATCGAGGAAGAGTTGCATGGTGAAATATTAGGGGGATGGCCAGGGAAGCGATGAAAGGTGATGAATGGAATTCAGAAACAAACAAAAATGAAAGGGTGAGGGGAAGGGGAGAGAAATACATAATTGAATTGTGCTATTCACTATTGTGATTGCTGGTTGATTTGTGTTTGTAATCTCTCAGGGAGTGTGAATTTGAAGAAATGACCCTAGCAGCAACTTGAGAGGGTATACAGTGGTACCTCAGTTTTCGAATGTCTCGGAAGTCGAACATTTCGGCTTTTGAATGCCAAAAACCTAGAAGTAACTGCTTTGGTTTTTGAACCATTATCAGAAGCCAAACGTGCCACATGGCTTCCATATTGAGTTTTCTGGATGTAAATGCTTCTGGAAATGCATGCTTCAGTTTTTGAACATTTCGGAAGCCGAATGGTCTTCCAGAATGGATTATGTTCAAAAACCGAGGTACCACTGTACTTTAAACAGAAACCAAAAGCTGTAATAGGGGTGGGGACATGCTGAGGAACTGCTGAGATTATAAGAATGAACACGAAGCCCAAAGAAAAAGAAAGCCGACTACCAGAAGATGTTATTGCATCCAACCTGGTGTGGTGAGGACTGGGGAGTGACAGTTCATAGGGACATAGGAAGCTACTTTATACTGTCTCAGACCATGGATCTATCTAGCTCAGTATTGTCTCCATTGATTGGCAGTTTGGGACGGGTTTCTCTCCCTGCACTATCTGGAGATGCTGGGGACTGAACCTGGGACCTTCTATATGCAAAGCAGAAGCTCTGCTCCTGAACTGCAGCTCTTCCTGCATTTCATGAAAAGAGAAACTGAAGGAGACTCCCTGAGAAAGCTTGGATCGAGCTTCGTGCCTAAGGAGGCCATTGCAGATGGCTGAATCAAATTGTGGCGAAAAGACACAACCCTCCAATAATTGGCAGGCGCAAAAGTGCCATCTATTTAGTTGCAGTTCTTCCACAATAAATCATACCTTTAAAGTAACTCAAGAATCAGTTATTAAATCACTTGTAGAAGCTGATCCTGCTGTCACAGAAACAAAATTCTCAGGTTGAGTAGGGCTTCTCGAAAGTACTTGCAGTGGATGGTGTTACTAGGCATTCAATATTTTTGCAAAGTGCCAAACATATTTCATAATCCAAGGTGAAGTCTTTAACTTATGTATTTTTCCCCCATTTTAGTTCCTCCCAAACTCTTGGTGAAGGACACCACCAAAAGCTTCATGATTGTAAAAGCAGGGGATGCCATTCGTGTGCGCATTCCCTTTGAAGTAAGTATAGCCTTTCTGAGAAGTGCAGCGTTCACAAAATCCATTCCCATGCTTTTTTTTTTTGGTCAAAAACCTAAGAGCACAAGATGCATTCTAGATTTTGCTAAACAAACGTGGACCGTTGTGTGTGTTTGTGTGTCACTTTACATTCATCTTTTCATAAATATATAGCTTACAGATTCATTCAAGGGGGTAGTGTTCAAGTTGTAAGAAACAAGAGATACAGTTTAATACTGCATCTTTATTTTTTATTTTTTTGTGCCAGAAATATGTAATATAGCACTGTATAATATATTCTATGTCTATGTGTTGTCCACTGCTTTGAGATTCTTACTACTGGATGGACAGTAGCTTCATTATGAAATGATGAGTTTGTGTAGCCCTCAGATCTTTGTATGGCAAATAAAGTAGTCTCTGGAAATACAGAAGTTGTCCATCACTGTCCTATGTATACAGTATTTTGTTACTCAGTGCTTCTTTTTTCAGCTGGAGCACAGTTCCGGCACTTTTCATTTCCCCCACCCAAGCGCTTCTTTCCTTTACGTACTTCTGAGAAGCCCAAAATGAATATTTCAAGTCAAAACAAAAGCTGAAAAATAGGGATAGTGGCTCAGGCTGTTTCTCATCTATGTCATGTTTGCATGTGTTTGTTCATAAATCTGTTTCCTCCCATTCTCCCATTGATTTGTTGTTTTTTTAATCTACATGAAAATTCACACCTTAAATACATATTTAAATTTGTCTATTCAAATGCATTTTCTAACACAATACACATTTCTAGATGTATTTTATCTCAAAATATCCATTTCAAATGGATCTTGATACATTTTTGAGTCAAAAAGTGCATTGCAAAATTCAGTTTAGCACAAAATCTGAAAAAGAACTATGTTCTGACCTGCACATTAGTCCAGAAGGTTTGTGTCTGGCCAGTTTGTACCAGAATTTACAGAAACTGAATTCTTCCACAGCCCAGTTATAAAAGGTTTACTATCTCTTTTCTATTCACCAGGCCTCCCCACCTCTTGAAGTGGTTTGGCTAAAGGATGGTCTTACTCTGCCTGCAAAAGCCACAACAGCTACAAGAGATGGCCTGAGCCAACTCATCATCCCAGGAGCTGACTTTTCTGACAGTGGCCATTATAGCATCACCCTCCAAAATGAGCGTGGAAATAAAGAGACTTTCAGCTTCCTAGTCCAAGTTCTAGGTAAAGACCATGCAAGGCATTTCCAGCTGCGCAATCTGCATTCGAATTCCCTTTTTTGGAAAATTTGTTCAATACCATACTCTCTATAATCCTTCAGCTAGACAGGTGTCTATTGTCCATGAGGGGAAATACAGCCCATGGGGGCACTGAATGGTCACAAGTCAGCATATTTAGCAATGCCAAAAAAGGACCATGGATCACATGTCATATGAGTCCTTTATGGGCAACTGTCAGCAATGGAATAAGACACCGGCTGCAAGCATCACAGTCTGTCAGCCCCTCCATTTACAGTTGACAAAAATGGCTGTACCAACTGTCAACGGGCATTTCTGTCTGGGAGACAAAGCGGGTGAAAGCTGGCTTCCTTCCACAAGCAAGCTCCAGGCTAGTGTTGCCTGGCTTTTATTCCTTTTAAATGAAATGCTGAGCCCTCCTTACCTCTGCAGCTCAAGGTGGGCAGTATATTAAGACTAACAATAGCATTGTGAAAACTTTGAGGTAATTATATGCCTCACTTTTAACAAGGCTGACCATTAACTAACTAACTAACAACAACAACAAGATGATGACAGTAGCTGGTTGTAGCCAATAGTTTAGGTCATCTGAAAGTAGTTTGTCAGCTAGACTACATAGGCTAACTGGCCTGGAAAAAACTAGGGTAGATTTGGACAGACTTCAGGATTGCGGAATCTCCTTTCGGTTTTTTTACTAGAATCCAAACTAGAGCCTGGTGTAAAAGACATGCAGTACTTCAAGGAAAGAATTTTAAGCTCAGGAATTTGTTTTGAGCACCAGAACTGAATGGACTTTATAGTCCATCTATACAAAAATGAGCTCTTGGTTACCCACCTCAGTCCACTTTATCCATTTCAGCAGTATAATTGCAGCAGATATCAAGCCTTAACATGAGGTTTGCAATACACATTTTTCTTCACTTAACTGTATCAGGGACAGCCATCAGCATGAGTGACTAAATTCTATGGACATAATTTCCTATTTTCAATACTCTCGTACCTTATTATATCGCACCATCTTAAAATTCTGGCTCTGCCTTCTGATTTTATTTATTTTCACTTTGCAGATGTCCCAGAATCTCCTGGTCCTATACAGCTAATTGAGAAGGTCCCTGACACGGTGACTCTGATTTGGGAGCCCTCACCAACAGAGAAGAGAGAGGGCACCCTGAATTATATGGTCATGAGACGTGACTCCTACAAAGGATCTTGGCAATTGGTGTCTGACCTGATTTACACCAACAAGTGCACTGTCTCAAATTTTGTTCCAGGCCGGGAATACTACTTCAGAGTTCAGGCAAAGAATTGCATGGGAATCAGTGAGCCCTCTGAAACAGTGCAGCCCTGGATCATTCACAGGGAAAAGGGTAAACAGGCTTTGAAAGTAAATCAGTACTTGTTGGTTCACTCTCTGTGTATTCACTGTATCATATAAATAAATAAAATGATGCTTTGAAGCATTTGAAGCTTTTTCTAGAAAAAGAGGTGCCAGAACTCACCTTGTTCTCTTATAATGGCAATGGCACTCACCTGAGAGGTGCCAGGAATTGGTTCCAGTGAGTTTCCGATGAAAAAAAAAGCCCTGCTTTGAAGGCAGATGCTCTCAGCTTCAATCTCTGACATATTAGGGCTGGTAAAGACTCTTGCCTGAAACTCTAGAACCCATTAGCCAGCATTTTTCACTCCAGATGTTTCAGACTCTCAGTCCCATCAGCCCCATCCAGCATGTCCATTGGCCAGGAATAATGGCAGTTGTAGACCACAATATCTGGAGGGCACCAAGTTGGCTATTCCTGTCCTAGAGAGCTACTGAAAGGCAATGGAGACAATATGGAACTAGATGGAACAATGACCTGTCTCAGTATTAGGCAGCTTTCTAAGTTGCTATACACTAAGGCCAAATGGAAACGTGCAGACCTGAACTGTAGGCATGGTCAAATAATGGCATCTCCAAGTGTCTGAGGTCATTTGGGGGAGTTCCTGGTCATTGTGTTCTGCGTACCATGCAGAAAGTGTCAACAAACCTATTGACTTTTTATTGGTAGAACCTCAGAACTTTGCCAAAGAAACTACTGCATCCTCACCGTTTTTAGCCAATATTGCCAGTTGCATATGAGACATGAATGTTAAGTATACTGTGTGATGGTCATTCCCTTAACTCTACATTTTGTGCATCTTACAGGTAAATTTGCAGTCAGAAGCCCAAAATACAAGGGGATCAACCAAAGTCAGCCTCCAAGATTCCTTGTCCCATTGAAACCTCATGTGGTAACTCTAGGATTTGACTGTCACATGAGTTGTGCTGTGACTGGATATCCAGTCCCTCAAGTAATGTGGTATAAAGATGGCAAGAATATCTCTCAGGATCCTACCTTCTTCAGCAAAAATGACTTTGGGGTCTGCTCTCTTGTGATCCTAGGAGTCACAGCGTCAGATGGAGGCCAGTATAAGGTGGTGGCCATCAATGAACTAGGCCAAGCAGTCAGCAAAGCTGAAGTCACCATAAAAGGTAAAGACTAAAGAGTGGGTGGGGTGTGGCATGGTTAGCCCATATCCCAGTCACTCGGTATACCTCCATGAAGCAAATAAGCATTTAATGTCTGGCCTTAGGGCATTTTGCCACCCTATATATTGGTACTGTATATGATTGGTCCAAACTAAAGCCCTTCCCTGATTTCAGCTATTAATTCTATGGTGGCAATACTTTTTAAGGTGTGGACAGGGTGTTTAAAAGCACCCTGGTAAATCCTGACCCAACAACAGGAAACTATCCAGCTTCAGCAATTAGTTTTGTTCAATTGCTGTTCTGTCTCTGCTTGGTTGATTGCCTCACAGTGAAACTTCCCATGAGACAAAAGGTCCTTTGATGACAGCCTGTGACCTTCCCTCATCATGAGTCTTTCTGAGAATTGTGTCACAGTCCTGCAGAAATTAGATTTCACCCAATAATAGCAGAAGACGGGGAGTGGATGACAGCTGAGACTAGAACATAAGTAGGAAATTGGAAGATTTTTCAAACCAAGACATGAAGGTCACAATGGGCACCATTCCAATGAAGCCATTGTGTGAGCAGAACAACCTCCACTTAGGCAACAGCACTTCCCCTCCCTCTCCTCCCCCATATGCCCCCATTACCCCCTAAATTTGCTCAAGGGCTACCCCAACTCTCCAAAGCATTTAAGGTGAGGTTGCATTCAGGAAGGGGAAGTGACTTCATTGGATTCAATGCAGTGTTTTCTTTCTTAATTCTGTGCCTTCGTAGTTCCTTTTGACTTCCCCCAATAATGCAGACTGTTCTTTTGGTTGCTTACAGCTGCAAAATACAAGTTAAATTTCCTGCACCTGCTAGTCCATAATGCATGGAATAGTCTTTGTATACTTGTGCCCCTCCCCTACCCCATACATACCAAACATATTTGCTTGTGTATGTGTCCTAATTCCTAGGATGATCAGTGTACATGTCTTATGTTAAGGCAATTTATAGGCTACATCCTATTTTTTAAAAAACAAATCAGTGGACTTTAACTAATCTATGCAATTCTTTTCTGTGCACTTTCCACTTTTAATCATATAAAATCTAGAAATGTCAAGTGATATGTCTCTTTCTCTCTCCTCTTTTTTCCTGTGGAAGAACCTGCTTTTTAGAATGGCCTGCATGGAACCAGCTTTGCACAGTCTGTGGCGTGACAACGTTTTCCTGTAAGACAGACACCGTTACTGAAAAATACATATTTACTGTTCTGTTAAGCAGCCTGAAGATTCTATCTGGTGAGGCAAGTGAGGTCAAATCAGCAACTGTTCTTTTCTTTACAGTTTTCCGTAACAGGAAAGCCCTTTGAAAACATGTATGCAATTCTGTCCAATGGTCCTTCAAAGAGCAGAATCCCAGTATACTTATCTGAGACTTTAATGGAAATATGATAACTTTAATGGAAGTAAAGTTGTTGTGAGCCACCACAGTCATCATCCTCACAACGAATTTATTGGTCTTTAAGGTACCACAGGACTTTCTGTTTTGTTTCTGCTGCATCTGGCTAACATTGCTACCCCTCTGAAAGTCATGACAAGGAAAGATAGTCCTGCAACAATAATGGATTTTATATTCATATCCACTGGACTGTAACTGAGATTGTTTATTTGTAGGCTTAAGATATTGTGAGAGAAAATACTTGGAACCAGCCCCTTGGCAAATGAATTTCAAATAGCTTGGCTGTGCCCACAATGGCTGTATTAGAACATGAGCTTTATTAATGTATTGGGAGTAGAAGAGTTTATAACTAGTTGGGATCCTTCTGTCAAGAACACCAAATTTTATGTATGAGATGTCTTACTAATTTCAAGCATCATTTGGGCTTTAACCAACTCTAATTTTAGAAAGCTTAACAAAGAATTGAAGTGGGACAATGCCACCTATTCAGTATTCCTAGGATTGAAGATGGATGCTTGAACAAGATTAGTTTAACCTTGAAACAGAAAAGATTGTTTTAAGATAAGTTTTTTTCCTGGGCCTACAGCAATTGCCTCATCAACAAGAATCAAAGCAAGAGTATACTTTTGTGTTTGCTCAACACTGAGTTTCAGCTTCATACTTTTCAAAATGTCTCAATGAAATGAGGCCCTCTGCCAAAGATATCTGCCCTCTGTGTTTTTCACTTACGCTATGAAAAATAGCTTGCTATTATTATTTTTTAAAAGAAGAAGAAGAAGAAGAGTTTGGATTTGATATCCCACCTTTCACTCCCTTTCAGGAGTCTCAAAGCGGCTAACATTCTCCTTTCCCTTCCTCCCCCACAACAAACACTCTGTGAGGTGAGTGGGGCTGAGAGACTTCAAAGAAGTGTGACTGGCCCAAGGTCACCCAGCAGCTGCATGTGGGGGAGCGGAGACGCGAACCCAGTTCCCCAGATTACAAGACTACCGCTCTTAACCACTACACCACACTGGCTCTCAAAGTAACTGAATAAAAAGTATTCAGTTAGCAGTTTCCTAATCGATAACAGCAAAAGATGTTTAGTAAGGCAATATAAGAAAAGTCCAGAAAAAGTCAAATGCAAATTCAGTAGCAGATGGACGCTTTAGCAAAAGTATTGTAGTGACAGATTTAACTGACATGTCACAAGGCATCTCTAGGGAGTAATATCCAAATCTTTGTCTGCACTCAGAATTAACCAAGGACCTATCTGTTGCTGAATTTCTCCAAGACAGAATTTCCATTATTTTAGTGGATTTTCTATGAGATGTCAGAATCCACCAAAGTCTAGTGAAAGCACACTGAATGATTGATGTTCGAGAAGCAGATATGAGGTGATGAATATACACAGGTATCACATTGGATCCTTAATGCTAATTGTATTGCTAAGTGTTAATATTGGATCGCCTGGGTGGGGGCAGGGAGAAGGCGGGGGGGGCTATTGTGGCCTTAGACTATTGCCGTCTTGTGTGCAAGAGTCTGTGTGCAAGGTTTTCATTTGTTTCAGCATTTTCCCTACCAAGGAATTGCACTTTATGGGCCAAAGGCAAGTGAAAACTTAATATTGAACCTAAATAAACACGACCTAAATAAACGACCAGCATCTTCAGGAACCTTTGAAGCTGAATCAAACCGCTGGATCATCTTTTCTAGCCCTGTGCTTGGACTGGCAGCAGCCCTCATGGAGGGAGGGATCTTTCCCAACACAACTACCTAAAGCCCTTTAACTGGTGATCTCAAGGAGTGAACTTGGGACCCTATAAACCTCTGAGCTATGGTCCTTCTTAATAATAGTTACCATATTGATGCAAATATAAGCTGCACACATATTTCATACAAGCCAGGTTTTTTGGGGGGTGGGAACAGTGTGGGCTATATATGGGTCAATATGGTATTGCACAAAGCCTGAGTGTCTCAGTGCTGCTTCTCTGCCCACTATACCCATTCAGGGTATTAGTACATTAGTTTATCAACTCATCGTTGTTGTACCTGAGCACTTCAGTTTCACTAACAGAACAAAAACATGCAGACTCCCAAGTGTTTTTTTAGAAAAGGTAGGACTTATTATAAATCTTCCTGCTTCAAAACGTAACCCAGACTGTGTTATTATTTTGATTCCTTACACCACAAGGGTCTCAAGGTGTCACATCAGTACCACAAAAGTATGCAAAATACATACAGTAAATTCAAACTGACTAAAAGGCAGTCATGTATCTGAAAAGTTAAAACATCCAACCTTTGGCATCCCTAGCAGAGATGTAACCAGGAAGGAAAAGAATCCAAATTTCCCCACTAGGGGGACTCATTCAGTGCAGTAATACTGGCTATATGCAGCAGCCAGAAACTGGCGTTTCTGATGTTAGTTGTTTCTCTCACTGAAAAAATGAGTAAGGCATGACAGTGGTTTGCTTCTCCTGTTCATTTTTTTTTAAGTGTAAAGGAAAGCCTGCTCCTGGATGCATAATCAGATGAAAAAACTTCAGCTAAGGCACCAATTTATTTATTTTTAAAAAATCAGATGTGCACTGTAACCGACTTTAGATGGTCATAATAAAGTTTTTGTAAGACTGGAATCAACATGAAATGTCAAAACTGACTTCAATAAACTTGGTGTGGGGAAGAAAAAGTATATGGTTGAGATCATAAGCAAATGTCTTTTCTCGTGGAGGCTTTCTTGTCTTTAAATTATTAACCAGTGGATGTGAACGAGAAAAATGCAAGGACGCTGGTGCGGGTGTTAGCAAAAACAGGAAGGGATGAACTCAGGCTACATCTGCACATCTACTACATTAAAGCCTGTGGTTTTTCATGTTTAGTGTTTCTACAACATAACACAGGCACACACATGTAGAAGTCATTTCCACCCATTTTGTTTAATAAAAATACCACAATTATGCTTCTGGAGCAACTGCAGGTGTTCTTTTTGTTGTGATAGTATTGGTGAGCATGCTATCAGAAATTAATACCCCTTAACAAGCAAATTTGCATTATATCATGTCTGTCTTGGTGGGTTTGGTGTAGCAGAAGTACATGCAAATTGGTCACATTGCTGGCAGCAGTATCCACACAGTTCTACAGGGAGCGGTCATTTTTGCTAAAAGTGTGGTGGCTATGTACTAGGACTACTGTCTTTCTCAGAGATGAAAAATTAAAATTCCTTAGCCGTTGATTATACACTGGCTAACTTGTTGCCTGTTGTTTGCATGTCAATTCATTTAATTAAATGACAATTTACCCATTTTAACTTGACCAGCAATGAGCCACAGCAATAAAAATCAACCAAATGTGTTTGTGCTTATTACTTACCCTGCTCTGACAGAACTTGGTCCTTCTCATCTTTCAAGGAGGAAGGGAAAAGCTCCCTTTTTATCACTCATCCAAACTGGCCAGTGCAGTAGTGGTAAATTCTAAAGTGCAGGAGCTGCTCCCATAGCCAAAAAAGGAGTCCAAAATGCAGACACCTTTGTGGATTCCACACATAGAGTGGAGGGGGAGTACAGAGCATAATAACCAATTTAAAAGGGTCAGTAAAACTATAACCCTGTGCAAAGTTTCCCGAGAGAGTAAGCTCCGTTAAACTCAGTGGTGCTTACTTCTGACTGCATAGGCTCAATTTGCAAAATACACTGAATATATCCAGCCAATTAAACTGCAACTTTTAACATTTAGTTAGAAAGGCAAATAGTTTTGTAAAAATAGCCTTGCTGGAGTGAAGTAGGAACCCTGACTAAGAAATCCATGTATTTTATGCATTCTCCCTTATGCATGCAGTTGGGTTTCACCACAGATTCCCAATAACTGAGCCTTTAGGAGGCAAAGACAGGTTTGCCACCATGGAATATGCAAAATGGTCCTTTACACCAGCTTCAGTCTATATAAGCTGGATCAAATGTAACATTTGCTATGTTGTACAAAATTTTCAGTAAATGATCTTAATATTCCCATTTGCAAATCTGTAAAGTTATGGTTTAAAGAGAGAACATACCTGCTCCAGATCTATGTCAGGTCATTTCCCTTTATACTGGAGAGCCTCCACACAACCATATGACCATTTCAGCTTCTTAAAAGCCATGAAAGGTAGCAGCTGCTTTGGTCTGGGGTTGCCTGCATATTCAAGTTAATCTTTCCAAAAGTCTTAATTCAGGATATACTACTAGATCTCCCGCAAGCGAGTCATGCAGTCAGCTTGCTTTCTGTTCTACTTTTACTCTCGTTTGTATAACATGAAACCAGTGCACTAATTTTTCATCTCTGTGATGTTGATGGGCAAGTGAGGACTGTGAGGAAATGATGTGCTAAACCCAGTGTTTGGACTACGGCAGCTATCCCCATCCTGGTGCCCTCCAGATGGTGTGGACTACTACAACACCCATCATCCTTGAGCATTAGCCATGCTGCCCCATGCAGGTGGGAACCATAGTACAAAACACCTAAAAGGCACCAGGTTGGGGTTAGTGCTTTTATTTGAGAAAAGAGAGGGTTTTCAAGAAATCTAGAGATAGAACTAGGCAGTTGCTAGCTGGTTATCCAGCATAGCCACCTTGGACTGCTTAATTTCCTCATTCTTCCTAATTAATTCTCCACCCAAGATGCATCTATGAGTCCTCTTGTTTCTTCCATCCATGCAACACTTCAAGACAAAAGCCTGCTTCAGGAGCAACTCCCTTCTGACACC